AGTCGAGATCAGGATTTTTGGCGATACTGTTGAAAGCTGAGTTGAACATCAGGATAATGTCTGATGATTCGTTGCTGACTATCGTTTTCTTTCTTCTTATCCCAGAGCACTGGGACCGTGTACTTCCCTTCTTTGTCTCCGGCGATCTCGTACAGCTCACGAATGCTCTTCGCGTTGTTGACAGTGTCCGGGATGCAGTACGTGCACGGAAAAGATCCGTGACCGTTCAAGTTCGAGACTGGAGGATCGGAAGGATCTCTGAACATCCACCCGATATGCTCGTCCTAGTCCTCCAAACGTCACCACGAGGAGGATGGAGGGATATAAGGTTGGAGGGGAAAGAAAGGTTCCCCAAACACCTGACGATATTTCTGTGCAGACGCCATTCAACGCTGCATGACGTGGATGCTGTTGTAGAATTAGCAAGGTACACCATCGCAAGGTGTGAACTGTTGGTGGACCGCGACGGAGAGGTAGGGAGCTCAATCAAACTCGATGAAGACGTTGAACGGGGCTGGTCAGGGTCTTCCCGACGACGATTCGTCGGGGGCATGGAAAGAATGGCTCAACGGCAAGAAGGATGGAGTCTCGAGGTTTCGTCTCTGTGCAGTGATGTATCATAAACGTGTGGGTTCAGACTGCAGATCATGCGTGAGCTGCTACCAAAACTGCAGATGACTCACCAGGCTCTGACCCTGGCGCTCACTTCGATAAGAATCAAGGTTGTTTGCAGGCCTTGTAAGTGACTGCTGTCCACTGACTGTTTCGTATCTTCAGCATGATAGCGATACTTTGAAGATCCGGTGATGGGAAATCGCAAAACAGCTCACACGAGTGTGACAAGCTTTCAGCTCCCCCTTCTCGTTCATTCCTCATGCAACCGATGTAGCTGTGGAGGTTTACCATGACTTTGAATTCGGCAGGGTAAGGGGATTGAGATCAGGGTATAAATGACATTGACTCTACTGGTGGTCAGGTTGAAAGCCACATCATGATCGCAATGGGGGAGATCTACAAGTCAACACAAACACCAGCCGCTGCCAGAGGTTCACCCTTTTGAATTGAAACTTCACTGGTGAGATTAGGGACAGGCTCGAAATCAGCAGCAAGACTCTGGTGCCTTCTCGGAACACACGCGGTCAATCTGCATAGAAGAGAGAATGAGAAAACAAACGCTAGCGGGTCCGTTACCTTGAGTCCTTTCCAGCAATAAGAACTCCGCAGGTACTACCTGAAATTTCAGCAAATGAAATTCGCGAGCGATCTCGACTCGAGCAAACTGGACGATAGCGGAGTGAGCGAAGGGGAACCCACGGCGCACGGGTGCAACTTGGATGTGGAAGGTCCAGTTTCGAGGAGCTGAACGATGATGGCAGGGATCTCTCTTTGAGCGAGGACCTTTCCTTCGCGCGCAAGTGGATGGATGAGGTTGTGGTGAGTGCGTTGAGCTCATGGACTGATGGGACCGACTTGAAGATCCCTGAGCTCGAGGTCGACGAGAGCGACAAGAATCGCCTGGTGAGGACGTAGCTGCTGCCGCCGGCCCTTGCTGACCCTTTGCAGGTCTACAAGCTCGGCCAGGAGTACCTGATCGCGTTCGAGAGCACTGCCAACATCTCCGCGGAGACGTTCGAAGGTTCCTTGCTTCCGCTCCGATCGCCTTGTAACTTCGTGCCATCAGCTATCATCTGCATCGGGAAATGCCTGCAGCCCTCCAGCAGGTCCGAGTTCTCTACCGCTGTCTGTGATGTTGCTGACAAGAGCGCAAAGTCGCAAACCGACATGCATAGCCGACCTGTCGCTGGACGTGCGGCCCCTCCCCCGCTCACCCAAGAGTGTTGACTCGATGGCTGCAGGACAGGAGATGGTGGAAGGCGCAGCTGGAGAAGCAGCTGGGGCCTTTCTATGAGCAGGAGAGTCACGAGGATGTCAACAGCATAATCAGGTGGGCGTCAGTTGTAACATTTGAAGTGTTGAACAAAGTTTGCACAGTCCCATCAGGGAACAGCTGAGAAAAACGACATTAAACGATTGAGACTTAGAGAGCAGCTGGAAGTCACGTAGAAGAGTCGAGCGGGGGGTTGTGGTTGAGGTAGGGGACAAACTTGTCAGACTGGCCAAGGTTTTGTGATGCAGGACGTATCAGTGTGGCACTAACCACGATTTAGAATTCTCTTCTTTCAGTTTGGAATCACAAAGTTGCAAATCTTGCCAGGGACGAAAATCTTCTTCTTGATTTCCTTACCCTAGTGAAGAAATTTCAAACCCAATGAACGAGCAGGGAATTCTCACCTCAATCCACTTCTGGACATTCTCGTTCTGCTCAATAAGGGCGATGGCAGCAGCTTGGTCGGCATCAGCTGGGACCTGGACGGCAAGGTCTTGTCAGCTGAGGATGGTCAGGCGGCTAGCTAGCAAGTGACTGACCTCGACGGTTCCCTTCAGCTTCCCGTTGATCTGTAGATTTCATGAGGAGGGAAGCAGGAAGGCAAGCAAGGAGGGACAAGAGGGGCAGGGGAGGGGAGGAGGGACGAGAGGAGCAGGAGAGGGAAGGAGAAGGAGGGAGGGGAGGGGCCCACCTGCACGGCGATATTTAAAGCATCCTCGACCAAATACTTCTCATTGAACTCAGGCCAAGGGCTAAAAAGTAGCAGTGAGTTGGCAGGAAGAGTAGAGCGATGAGGTTTGCAGTAAGACGAGCTGCAGCTGCAGCAGTAGCAGAAGGAGGCCTTGTCATACCTGTTAGACACTGAGGGTTTCTGGCCCAACCTCTCCCAAAGCTCTTCAGCGATGTGAGGAGCGTAGGGATTGAGCAGTTGGACGAAGGGGATCGCGATGCTCCTGGGGATCGACTTCCTGCCATCATCTCATCAACTCCCTCCTCCCTCCTCCCTCCTCCTCCTCCTCCTCCCTCCTCGCACCACTTGTAAGCCGCGTTGACAAACTCCATCATGGCAGCGATCGCCGTGTTGAAGCTAAGCTTCTCTGTGTCCTGAGTGACGCGCTTGATGGTGGTGTGGAGCACCTGGGAGGACGAGGGTGAGTCTGCCTCCCCGCTTGCTCAAGGAGTCACCTTGAGATGCTCCTTCCCAGGCTCCTCGTCAGTCAGCGGAATGTTGTCCTCCGTGATGAGCCTCCAGGCACGGTTGAGGAAGCGGTACACGCCCTCCACCCCGTTGGTGTTCCAGGGCTTCACCTGCTCCAGCGGGCCCATGAACATGAGGTAGAGACGGAGGGAGTCTGCTCCGACGTTGGAGATGACGTCATCAGGGTTGACCACGTTGCCCCTGCTCTTGGACATCTTGACAGCCCGGCTGAGGACGCGGATCTCGGGCTGGTCCTTGAGGACAAAAGATTCTCCCTTCTTGATCAGCTGGCTCTCGTCGACACTGCGAGCCTCCATCTTCGCTCGTGTCTTCTTGTGCTCAGGCCCCTGCTCCCCATCCTCGTTCACTTCCTTAGCAGAGACAGCCTTGTCCGTCCCTGCCTCGTAGAACACCGTGTGCTCGATGGGGCCGAGGATCAGCCCCTGGTTCACCAGTCGCTGGAAGGGCTCCTTAGTGTGTACGACCCCGCAGTCGTAGAGGACCTTGTGCCAGAACCTGGCGTACAGCAGATGAAGCACGGCATGCTCGGCCCCTCCGAGGTACAGGTCAACAGGCATCCAGTACTTCTCCAAGGCCGGGTCGATGGGAGCACCAGGGTTCTCAGGATCGAGGAAGCGGAGGTAGTACCAGCAGGAGCCGGCCCACTGCGGCATCGTATTGGTCTCCCTCCGCACCTTCCTCCCGTCCGGCAACTGGTAGTTCACCCAGCTGTCGATGGTGGACAGAGGTCCCTCCGTGGTACCGCTGGGTTGGTAGGACTCGACGTCAGGGAGAGTGACCGGGAGCTCCGACTCGGGGAGGGGATGGGGGGCGCCGTCCTCGGTAAAGACGATGGGAAAGGGCTCCCCCCAGTACCTCTGACGAGAGAAGAGCCAGTCTCGCAGCTTGTAGTTCACCTTCCCCTGGCCTAGAGACTTCTGCTCCAGGTAGGCGATCGTCTTCGCCTTTGCCTCATCCACCTTGAGGCCGTTGATGTCCAGCTCAGCGCTAGCTGAGTTGATCAGCACGCCGTCATCCGTGTACGCTTTGGCCTGCACGTCCTCACCACCCTGGACCACCTCCTTGATGGGAAGGCCGAACTTGGTAGCGAACTCGTGATCGCGTTCATCGTGCGCTGGAACCGCCATGATCGCTCCTGTTCCGTAAGAGCCCAGGACGTAGTCTGCGACCCAGATCGGGACCTCCTCCTTGGTCAGCGGGTTGATTGCGTACCCCCCGGTGAAAAGTCCAGTCTTGTCTTTCTGCAGCTCTGTCCTCTCCAGGTCGCTCTTCTGCGAGGCCTTCAGCACGTACTCCTTTACGGCGTCTCGTTGCTCTGGGGAAGTGACCTTGTCCAGGAGCGGGTGCTCCGGAGCCAGCACGAGGTACGTTGCTCCGAACAGAGTGTCCGGCCTAGTCGTGAAGACGACAACCTCCTCTGCCCCGTTGCTCTTCTGAGCCCTTGGATCAGAGCTGTAGCGCGGGGACTTCTTCGCTGGCTTCACCAGAACTTTCCTCCCTCCCATCTCATACTCCCCGCAAGCCTTCTGCGCATCTTCCTCGTTCATGAACTCGACGAACCCGTACCCCTTGGACCTCTGGGTGTCCCTGTCGCGCAAGACTCTCGCCGACTTGATGGGACCAACCTTGCCCAGCTCCCTCTCAAGATCCTCCTCAGAGTAAGCCCAAGGGATGCCACCGACGAAGACTTTCTGATGCTCCACCTCCTCAGTCCCTCCTGTAGCAGCCCCGGACGACTTGACCTTGAAGGAGACCTCGGCTCCTTGGCTCTTCCCGATCCAGTTCCTCTGCATCTCCTTGACTGACTCTGGCCAATCAAGCTCTTCGAGGTCTTCGAGGAGCCTGTCGGCATAGGCAGTGATCTTCAACATCCACTGCTTGAGGTTCTTCTTGAACACAGGGTGTCCCCCTCTCTCGCTCTTTCCATCGATCACTTCCTCGTTCGCCAGCACGGTCCCGAGAGCAGGGCACCAGTTCACGGGGACTTCTGCCTGATACGCAAGTCCCTTCTCATACAGCTTGAGGAAGATCCACTGGGTCCACTTGTAGTACTGCTCGTCCGTGGTAGAGACCTCTCGCTTCCAGTCGTAGCTGAACCCAAGGCTCTGCAGCTGCTCCCTGAACCTGTCGATGTTCTTCTTGGTAGTGACGCTGGGATGTGTCCCTGTCTGAATGGCGTACTGCTCCGCAGGCAACCCAAACGCATCCCATCCCATAGGGTGCATGACGTTGTAATCGTTCATCTTCTTGTAGCGAGAGAGGATGTCGGTCGCCGTGTACCCCTCCGGATGCCCAACGTGGAGACCCGCGCCAGAAGGGTAGGGGAACATGTCGAGAACGTAGTACTTGGGCTTCGACATGTCGACCTTCTCTGGCGTCCTGAAGGTGTCTTGCTCCTTCCAGAACCCCTGCCACTTGCGCTCGATCTCTTGGAAGGGGTAAGCGGAGCTCGTGGAACTTTCCTTCTCCGCCATCTCCACGGATCCACCACTCATCATGACAGCATGACGCTGATAGATCGGGCTCCTCCTGAGGGGCAAGGCCGTCCTCATCGTTCCCTTGCATGTCCACGACGCTCTCCCAGTTCTTACACTATTTCCAGTGTGCAATTGCGACACAAAACCAGGCAGCTTCCTCGGGTGCAGCGCAGACAGACTGTGCATGAGATGGTCCTGCATGGAAGGGGAGGGCATCTTGAAGCAGCTGGCAAAGCTCAGCCCCACCGCCGACATGACGCAAGGAAGCGCTCCTAACCCCCGCATTGGCGGCCGCCAGACACACTACCAAGACCACTGGCCTTCCCTCGTCCCCGCTATGACCAGCGCTCTAAGCCTGGCAGCTTGCCCGCCCGGGTGACACATCCGATCCGGGCGGCGATCGGATTGATCTCGTAGCGGCCCTTCAAACTGATTCAAGTCCAACTCGGACCATAGAGTCACTACTGCCACTCAGACCAATGAGAGTCCACAACGCCGAGCAGATCTTCCATAACTTACTGTGACGGGAGTTTACTGTAGACTCTGAGTCAAGAATTTCATACTACTGTTGCCCTCTGCTCGTTTCTCGCCTACTGACCCCTCTAAAGGGGTTCCCAACCTTGGGAGGCCGGCCCTTGTTTCCTAGAGGCCCCGCCGACCTGGTTGCTTCCGTTTTAGATGCCCCGGGGGGGGCCCGGCCCCCGCGCCTGTGTTGGCCACTCGGAGCCGGGAGCCCGGCCGGGGGCCCTCATCCCCGCGGGCTCCTGGGCCTCTTCAAACAAGCGGTAGAAGCTGGCGGGAGGACGCCATGGAGCGGATAAGAGCTAGTAGAGGCTGGTAGAGGGTCTAGAGGGAGAGAGAGGGAGAGGTTCATATATGAGCATGGAGATTGTAGAGAGAGTCCAAAAGAGCAACCAGGAGCTTCTCAGTCTGATCTCTTCGATCCCAAGGAATCGACAAGGAAGCGAGGTAAGGTGTTCACTTAGTCTTAACCCATGATCCCCTTGGGCTCGCTGCCGCACTGTCTCTGATGTCTTCGACAGTATGCTCGCAGCCAAAGTCGAAACATGTTGCATCATGAATCTTTCGACCACAAAGAGGTTGTGACTGTTTGGATGCTCTGTACAACATGGTTGATGGTTTCATCAGAGGGAAGCGTTAGAGAGGAGCAAGCAGACCATCGCTGATCTACAGGCAGAGATCTTCAGTCTGAAGAATATTCTCAGACAGCAGGAAGCTCGACAAGAGGTTGACAGTTTCTTCATATGAGTTTGAAATGACGTACTCTCGACCCTAGGCGGAGAGTGCCCAAGTTGCCATCAAATCAGAGCAATGCGAGGCGAAAGAGAAACAATTATCGGAATCACAAGATGAGATCAACAAACTCAAGAAAAGCTTAAAGAATGCCGAAGAGGAAGTATCGACGGCGAATTCAAAGGTTTTCTCACTTCGTTCGCTACTCAGTGAGCTGAAAGTAATCTGTAAGATTCGAATCTTGTCGCATCAACTAGAGGCGTTGAAGAAGGTAATTCCAAATTGATTCGGATAACATCCCACGATCTCATGGGTTGACAGACCAAACAAAGTCCGGAGAAGGACTCAAATCTCTCCGAAAGATGCATGGAGGCCGAGGCAAAAGTGAACGCCCTCATTGATGTATATTTTCCGAAGTTGATGTAAGGGAAGGTGTAAGTATTTATTTTAGGAAGTAGAAGGTTCTGCTGCAAAACAAGAAAAAGATGCTCGTATAATTTGGAGGCTGGCAAGGCGCTGCAAAGACATCTTACACAAGTGTTTCACCATAATGTGTTTGATGACATACTCACGAATTCAACTACAGGACCTCAGCGTTTTCATACGATTTCAGTACAGAAGTTTGACAATTCTCAATTATGTCTCATTGACGATTGAATAACAGGCTTATCGACTATTTTTGATGTCTGGGCCCAGCACATGAAAGTTCGAAATAAAGTCAAATTTGGCAAGTTCAGGATTCTCAATCGGTTCAAGTTCAAAGTGTACTTCTATGGTACGAATTCCAGTCCCTATCTCCTACATACCTGATTATCAGTCTAGTCTTTCAGGAATGGTTGCGATTTACCAATGTACAGAAGTTGTCAAGCACTTTTGAGACTGTAAAGTTCATTGCTTGATTATTGTCTGCCAACGATGACAGCGAACAGGAAAACGACACAGCATCCAGCCCATCAAAGAGTTTGATTTTATCGGTGAGTCTTTTGCCCTTTTTTCACAAGATTTTGACACAAATTCAATCTTGGTGTTGAGCAGATCTCGAATGAGAATTATGACGAGCAGAACTCGCCCTCGCTGTCGCATAAGGGTTCAGATACAAGCGGCAGGAAACTAAGAATCGAGAATTCAGCCAGCACGGTCAACACCCTAGAATTGCTCAAAGGGGCATATCATACGAATAGGCTTACCTTGACAACTCCGAGAGGACCGGGAGGGCAGGACAACAGGTTTCTTTCCTTCAGTCTCGAGCCGAGTCTAATGAGTGCTTTCAAGCAATGAACTGATAGTCCAGGACAAGTCGATGACTTCGAATGATCGATCGATTCATTCAAAAGGAGACACTTCCCCTGGAAACACTGACGAGGGACCGTTGGATTGGATTTTCAAGTACCTTGGAGAGCAAGAGTCAAACAACAATACTGTCAACAGCCTTCCTGGACCTTCCAATGGCACAAGTGGGAAAGGCAGTCAGAGTTCTTCACGATTTAAGAAGATCAATTCCTTGGAGACGCCTGCAAAGGTCTGCTTGCAATCATTCCGACATACATGATGCAACCTGAAAAACATTCAGGCGATGATTATTCCAGATCACAACGTGTTCATTGAAGCAGAGCTTGGATTGCATGTTCATAATCTAGTGGGTGCAAGGTGATGATCGATTCTTGAAAGCTTTTATTTTTCATTCTTCATGACAGCTAACTCTTGATGCAGAGAAAGTCCCCGCAAGAACCATCTGAGCCTGTCAAGTACACAAGGCACTGCAGCAGCAAATCAGAGCCAACACTTGACGGTCTCTCGGAACCTCACAGGTTTGCAGTGCTGACGACAGGACAGGTGCATGAGCTCTCCGCTGATTGGGAAAAACGAACTTTCACAGCAAGGCGCAGCTACCCAGAAAGCAAGTTGACACCCCGTGGTGAACCCCAAGTGCAGAGCGCTTACGTGAAGTCCGCCCATGACCTGGAGAGATTGAAGTTACAACCGGTTTGTTGGTTGCAATCCAACTTAATTCATTATGATCGTGCATGAAGGAGCTGATAGCGCAAATCTCTTTTCAAAATCAGTTGCCGAGAGGGTGGAAGAAATACTACGACGAAGTCAACCAAATGCCCTACTACTACAATGAAATCTTGAAAGTAACGCAGTGGGAAAGACCGCCAGCTACGCGGGGAACGCCAATCGAAATTTCCCCAAGCTTGCAGGTAGCGTTTTCTAATGCTGTTCTGAGACATTTTCTCATAGAATAGCAGGATTCAGCGGACGGTTCCAAAGAAGCAGAGGCAGAAAACGGCACCAAGCGATTCGACAAGAATGTATATTCACCATCGCAGGCACAGTGGGCCCGGCAGCAGCTTGGTCTTGTAGAAGTACTTCTACCTTCTGTGCTCTGGAATATTTCCTCACTGTCATTCTCAGGTTTCCCCTGGTGATGCTTATGATGCAAACAATGGTGGGTCACCCAGACTCACTCCAAGAAGTCCGATGAGAAAGGCTAACGTGTTGAATCGTGTTAATCGTTAGCAGCAATTGCCGCCGCTAACTTATCATTGCATTGCATGAGGAATGATTCACTTTGTGTACATAAATTAGATCAGATTCAATCTCAATGAATTCATGGTGTGCTCTCATATTTTAGTTCGAGGGAAACTTCTTCACCCAGCCTTTTGAGAACCCGAACTCCATCGCAACCTGTTCGATGTCATTGACTGACTGACCACCAGCAATCATCTCTTACAGCTGCTGCTCCAAATGCCAGCACACTCTCAACAGCAGCGCCAGAGCCTTGTAGAATCATTTCCCAGTTAAAGTAGCTGCAAACTAGCGGGTCAGACAGAACGAACTTGATTCCTGTTTGGTGACCTCAAGGGCGCTCCGCAAGAAAGGGGAAGTGCACTGCAACTGTCACTTGCTTGCAGCATTGACCATGCTCGGGTGATGACAAACGCGCCAAGAACACCCTATTTCAGCTCGTCAAGGTTCGCAGGGACGACTGTGAAGGCTCACCTGCTTTAGTTGAGGGTTCCCGTCACCGCGGATGGCGTATCCTGTGACCCATGAATTTAACCTAGCCGAGCACCTCTACTCAGGCAGCACTCACTGTAAACTAGTCCAAAGAGCGCCAACATGAAGGCCAGACCGTCGTGCGCCAGTTCCCACTGCGCTGAGAAGGCGTCTGACGGGTAGAAACTGGATTTCTCGATCACAGCAAGCGGTGCCATGGCCAACGACCCAGACAAGCTTGAGAGGAGTGCAACCTTGACCGATTCGATTCTTTCAGCTGCCTCGTCAACGACACTCACTGACCACCTTTTGTTCGAGCTCTCCCCTTCCCCCTCGTTCCCCTCTGCGGACAACCTGAGGCTTCTAAGAGCTGGTTGGGCTCTGGATGAGCATCTTCGTGCGGAGAGACGAACTTCCTTCACACTTGCGATCGCCATGAACGACTCGGACGGTGTACACGTTGCCACGAGGCATACCATCACTGCTGTAGCTCGCACCCCCGCCATGTTATAAAGGAGCTCTCAGCTGTCCCAACTCGACATCACTATAGGGTTCTCTAAAGACAAACTTCTGCCCTTTGCAATTCCCGAACGGGCCGGCCTCAATGAAATTCACATTTGCCTTCAAATTCAAATCACCCGCCATTTCAACCCATCAGTCCCTGCCCCTTGCCCCGTGCCCAGAGCCCTCCGCTCTACTCTCCGACCTTGCAAGTAGCGAACAAGGATGCCTTCTCCTCCGTCAGTACAACAACATCGTTTGCGAAGCTCAGACATACTTAGACGCGAACTTGTCCGACTTTTGACCACCAAGGTGGAACACGTAGTGGAGACGGTCGTGAAGCAGAACGTTATAAGTCGACTCTGCAACACCTTGGACGCGACAGCTTTCTTGAAGGCTGAAAGAGATAGGAGAATCGTGGCAAAGTTAGTGAATCATGTAAAGAAAATCTGGGGAGAATTCAGCGAAGCAGGCAGCATGAGCACGTGCTTGTCTGGTTTCAACATCGATTTGTTACCTCCCGTGCAATTCAGCTCGCTGTTTCGATTCACAGCGAGCGAACTGCGCCAGCTATTGCATCCCCTGCGCTTATTGGGCAGGGATGGTTTGCCACGAAAGTTCATACTGGGGACTCTATTGGCACCAGACGAAGGGCAATGGGAAGTAAGAGCTGACGTGGCTCTGATGATCGTGCTCTATCGTCTAACAAGAAATGCTTCAATGGAAGAGATAGCCTGGTACTTCAACTTGACTGTGTCAAAGTGCTCTGCTGCCTTCGATGCCTTGGTGAGGTATCTCATGACATACCACGAGGAACCTGTGCAAGAGGTATACTGCATGGCTCGTCGCTTTCAGAGCATTGCCGATTACATGGTCGAACTCGGCTCCCCTTACGATAACCTCCTGGGCTTCGTCGACACCGCGTACACGAATTGCTACACTCCGAAACCTGGTTCCCAAGGAGTTTCGGAGTTGAATGGCAACAAGCCCCTTGCTGGGTTCAATTGTCTGGTTTTTACGCTGGGCAACGGTCTCTTAGTACTCAGCAAACCTTGCACAAGCAATCGATCAGAGGACTTGATGTTTCAAACAAGCGGTGTTGCAGACGATCTGAATTTAGTTGAAGAAGGACAGAAGATTCACTACCTTTTCTATGGAACTAACCGGTTCACAATGCAGTTGCACCTTCAAAGGGCCATTGTTCCACCCGTGAATGACAAGGAATTTACCCTGAATTTCACGATGTCAAAGCTTAGGAAGCCGTTTGACAAAATATACACTGACTTTCAAGACAAATGGCCTGGTGTTCAAGCTTGCACTGAGCGAGCAGACGTGTTCAGGGTTGCCATTTTGCTACACAACTGTTGGACTATACTGCAAGGCAAGGATCACTTGGATTTGAATGGCAAACGTTCCAAGTACTCAGATGGCATGAAATTGACTTTGAAACAATACTTAGTCGAAAGATTCGATCCCTGGTGAGTGCATGCATGGGTGTCCTTGCGCAATGGCCCAAGCCATGGCACTATTCACTCATGGATTCTCGTTAGAGTTTTGCGTTCCTTTCTAGTTTTTATCGAGTCATTGTACAATGTATGGGTCGTGTATCCTTTCTTCTACACCCTCATGCCGCACGGGCCCGGGTCGGACAGTGAGTCCCAGTAAGTGACGGTCACTGGCCGCTCCCGATTCAGCCTCATGTTCAATGTTAGAGTCAGGGCTCGACATTAAAAAGTAAGGAGGCCCCATTCGCCATCCCTTCCAGTACGCTTCCGGGACCCCGAGGGAGGCTCATCAACCTGGGCCAAGTGCTGCGGGGCCCAGCTGCCAGCTGTTCGAGCTCTAGTCAGGTACAGCGGCCGCGGCAAGTGGCGGCCGCAGGCTGGACTATTGGCTGGCTCCAAGTGTGGCAAGGCGAATCGGTCACTGTTGCCAGAGTTCAAGATTGGAACTGATCGGATCGCGCTCCCCGAGAGTGTTTGCGGAAAAGATAATTGATCGATCAGTCGTGGAAATCATCATTCAGGGATACTTTATTGTGAATCTGTAATCCCTACTAGAAAGAAGAAAAACAAATGGCAAACTTCAATTAGTTGAAAATGTGTAGTATCGCGCCATAGAGTGTGGCATCTGTGATGTTGGCCGCATATCCTCAGCAACCATGTCTTCTCGTTGGTTCTGATGACGGCACCAGTTTCTCCATTCACACATCGAAGATAAAGTGCATCCTCCCCAAGAAAGCCTCCCTCCAGCCGCCTTCTTCCTCCGGTATCAGCTGAGCGCGTCGGAACATGTTGTGCATAGTGTTGATCGCAAATTTGACACGGGCAGGAGCGTCGTCTGCCTGAAACAGCTCTTCGATGCCTCGAGCAAACTCCTCCGTCATGTCCTCGTTGACCTTGAAGCCCATCCACCCGAAGAACGTGTCTGCGCTGCTGGGCTCCCTGAAGGGGAGGGGCTGCACGACGCCCGTGACAGCGGCGATGTGGAGGTACATGAGGAGAGCCTTCTTCTGGTTCTTGCATCGCTTTTGGATGCATTGGGAGAGCTGGTCGTCCAGTGTGTCGCGCATGTTGTGGGACTCGAGGAGCTGGTCGCGCTGCTCTTGAAGTATCTTAGTTTTCTTCATCCACCTTTGCTGGCCTTGTCTAGCAGTTGCTGGTCTTGAACCAGCTGTAGCCTCGGGTGTGGGGGAGTCAAAATGGATGCTTGCAAGGACTTGGTCTGAGTCTTGACCTGCCTCCACATCGCTCAAAGTATGGCTGGTCATGGTGGTTGTATCAGAGCTGGTGTTCTCGGGGGAGCAAGCTCGTAGGTGAAGGCGAGAGTCTCCGATGCAAGATGTGGAGGTGATTGTTGAATCTTGATCTGAAAACTCAATCGCGGAAATTTGGTCATAGCACGAAAAGAACTGATTGAACTCAAGATCGCAGTCTTGTCCCATCCTATACCAAGGCCGGATTACAAGGGAAGGACTGCTCGCACCATCCAGAGTTGGTTCGAATTCTATGCTCTGTGACTCAGTCACGCCACACGTTCCACACACAGTTATGTCTGAGCTCTGATAGGCCCCACACTCCCCATCTAGAACAAGTTCCCCGTCCCAAGAAACACTTGACATATACGCAAGTTCGAGCACAAGATCGCGTAAAGCTCCTTGAGTCAGACGAAAGAAGATAGGAAGAGGGCCAGGGAGAGAAGCAAAAAGGTAGTCAGGGGTGAAGACAGGAGGCAGGAGGCAGGAGGCAGGAGGCAGGAGGGGCAGGAGGTAGGAGGGACAGGAGGCAGGAGGCAGGAGGCAGGAACAAGGGATGGAGGACTGGATATAGGGGGTAGGAGGGTTGAGAAGAACAGGGTGGGGTCCCCGACATTTTAAAACTCTAAAACTCTTCACCACCCACCAGAACAATGGACAAACAGGGGGTTCACTTCCAGCAAACAGGGGGTACTGAGATGAATCGATCGACCACCCATGCTCTCCTAGTACCAACAGGGGGTACTCCGCTCCTCTGAAGTTCCTGGCCAACAAACTGGACACCCCTCCACCCTATTTTTTGCAGAGCAAACAGGGGGTAGTTTCCTAGCTGAACAAGGGGGGGTAGTGTAGAATATCGGGGGTCCTGGCCCCATGATTTGCCCGCATTGGGGGTAGGGTACACAGCCACAAACCTAAAAGAAAATCTGCCTGCCCCACCCCCGTCCAAACTAGGGGAAGCAGTGGGAAACAGGGGGGTGGACAGAAGTTCGTGGCAAAGAAGTACCCCCAACCACCCATAATCTGCAACTCAGGAGAAGGGGTCCATGAGACTAAAAAAAAATCCACGAACCTAGAGAGCACTCATCCCCCTCCCTTGCCCCTCCTCTCGCACCCACCGATTTCCTCCTCCCCCATTGCACCCAACCACTGCGTCGATGACTGCTGATGTGGAAACTCGCCCTATCATGCCGCGACTCGCCAGGGCAGGTCAAATGCGCTGGTTGATGAAGATCAGGATGCTTCAACAGCAGCGCGACCAGCTCCTCGAGTCCCACAACATGCGCGACACACTGGACGACCAGCTCTCCCAATGCATCCAAAAGCGATGCAAGAACCAGAAGAAGGCTCTCCTCATGTACCTCCACATCGCCGCTGTCACGGGCGTCGTGCAGCCCCTCCCCTTCAGGGAGCCCAGCGGCGCAGACACGTTCTTCGGGTGGATGGGCTTCAAGGTCAACGAGGACATGACGGAGGAGTTTGCTCGAGGCATCGAAGAGCTGTTTCAGGCAGACGACGCTCCTGCCCGTGTCAAATTTGCGATCAACACTATGCACAACATGTTCCGACGCGCTCAGCTGATACCGGAGGAAGAAGGCGGCTGGAGGGAGGCTTTCTTGGGGAGGATGCACTTTATCTTCACAGCGTAAAGGAAAGAGACGCTGTCAGGTTATGAGAGGAGTCAGGCATCTTTGCTTGAACAAACATGTTACGTAGTCCTTGTTGCTTATTGATGTTCAAGGATAAAATCACAAAATTGAACGCACTCTTGTCCATAATGCTTCTCCACTACCTCTGTTTTGTCGCTGCTATCAGACAGCGCTCATGTTCAAATGGGAATGAAGGATATCAGCCTTGTGCCATGGCTCTCGTCGCAAGAAACAGAAGGGGGATTGAGCAGATTGAAACAATCATCGACGCAAGTCAGCCGCTGTGAACTGTGAGAGAACTTGTGGGCTCCGGTTCTTTCCATCTTCAATCATCTTTTGTTTCATAACCCAAGGGGAAGGGACAAACAGGAGCAAGCTAGGTAGGAAAGGGTAGACCAACAAATCCTCCTCAACACTGAAAAGACTACAAGAAGGAAGAGGCAGCGAAACTTGGGCCTCCACTGCAACCACGCGAGCGGCGGCCGCGCGGTATGCACGACAAGCAGGGGGACAAGGATCAGGACAAACAGTCAAGCAAACAGACGATGAAAAGCAGCCTGGCAGGGTTCCTACCTTCAGATACAATGATCTCCCTTCAGTGAGTCTCCGATACAATGATCGGGAGTCCCTTCAGTGGGAGCCTCGAGTCCGACCGAGTCACCGTCGGCGGTCACTGTCGACAACTTGACGGGCCGACCAAGTGACCGTCGGTTGTCAATGAGTGATCACATACTATGATATGATCAGTCATCGATCGCTCCGAGTGGCCGGGCCGTGCCGCAGTGTGCCCGGCAGTGCAACTGAACCCGGCAAGGGCCGGGCCGCGGCAGGCCCGGCGGCCGGCCGTAGCCGGGCTACTCACTGAGGCAGTCACTAGTAGCCTCAGTAGTGCGCCGCGGTACAGTTGTATTCGGAATCTTTACTCAAAGTTAAGTTAAAAATCAGTACGAGGACAATCAGGAGAGTCGGAATCATGCACAAAGTGGTGGGTGGTAGTGATAGAAGGACAGGGGTAGTTTCAGATATGGAATGAGAGGGTAGGGGTGGCAGTCTGTTTGTCCCCGACCCACCAGGTGGGCATGGTGAGGGAAAGAAGGCGGTGGATGGTGGGCATGGCTGGAGGGATGGCGATGGGAGCGACGATGACCTTCTTTGTCATGCTCTCACTCTTTCACGAGAGACTATGGCCTTCTACCCGCCCAAGACGGCTTGCTACCCTGAGCAACGTCAGAGTCAGCCTCGCCACGATCCCGAGCTGGATGCTTTTCCGAGCGAGCAGGAGCGCGGTCTTACAGGCAGAGAAGGAGCTGGGCAAGGAGTTCGATGTTGTCAGCGTGCAGGACTCGATCAAACCTTTGAGCATCTCCTGCTCGGGTGAGGACAAGGTTTCGGAAGAGATCTGCGAACTTTCGATGGAGCTTTCCCTAGCCCACCTGCACGGTCTCTGGTCGAGCTTGAGCGAGGTTCTTCCCTTTGCGCAGACCAGGAGACCATCCTTCAACGAGGCTGACTCCTGCAATGTCACGAGTATGAGTAGCAGCTCGCACCATGGCGTCCACCATGTTAACGTGAAGTGCTCGAATATGGGAAGGAGGAGGAGAGTAGGAGCGTTCCTCAGTTTCATCAACCGGCACACGAAAGAAGAGGAAGAGATCCCAGTGTTGGTGTCTTGGTTGGACCATCTGAGCCTTCCTCTCTTCGTCGCTCCCTTCGACCTCTTCCTCGTAGCTCCCTTTGAGCTATCGTCCTTGGTGGAGAAGCAGGTTAGCCGCTTGCTAAGAAGGAGGGATGACAATGCTCACAAGGCTCTCTGTGTGAGAATCCGCAAGTGGAAGGACGTTGGAGGCGGGCGAGTCTTGTGCTCGACGCCTGGTCTCGAACAGGGAAGTGTTTCATCCAATGTTCCGATCATATGGATCTCCAAGGTGGCTGGGGACGAAAGTTCGCAAACCAGCACCGGGAAAGTCGACCAGGTTATTCGGACGCTGAAAGCTGTGGAGGGGTCGATTGGGCATGTCCACAATTACGAGTATTTCATGTTTGTGGAGCAGAGTTTCTTCGTCTGTGGGAGAGTTTTCTCTCATTTCCTGCAGAACATTCTTTCTCTCAGACGCTCTTTCACGCTGATTGCATGCGGGCGGGAGCTGTCCTGCTTCCTCGGGGAGTGGAGAGACCTCAAGTTCTGGTCGAGGGCAGTCTCTGCTCCTGCAAGAGAGAGGACGTCCAAGAGCTACTCGCTCCTGCAGGTGGTGGGGAAGGAGAAGATAGAGTTCCGAAGGCACTTCGGAGACGCCCCTTCATTCCGCTCCCTCGAGGACATGCTGTTTTCCGCAGACGATGAGAAGGGAAGGCAGAGATGCGAGAGGACTGTGCGATTTTCTGACGAGGAGCTGCACAAGCCGGAGGCTGAGGAGACGCATGAGGAGGAGACGCACTGTGTCGGCCACATAGACATGCTGGCTCCCTGTCAGGATCCTCACAAGACCGTCTCCTTCCTCGCTCATCCCCGGTGGTCTCATCAGATGAGGTCGAAGAGAAGGCTGTTGAGTGTTCAGATCCTTGCGAACGACCGGCCGAAGCAGCTTCTTCGCACTGTCATGCAGCTCCTGACGCAGCTGGAGCCGAGGTGTATCACTATCCACCTGGACCATTCAAAGCAGGACAAGATTGAACCGCAGCAGAAGCTTACGACGAAGGTGGCTCATTGGCTGGGAAGCACGTTCGGGACGAAGTGGAGGAGGAACGGACGCAAGTTCCTTCCTGCCGTCACCCATCGCCTTGGGTTCCAGCGCAACTTCGCCTCCAAGAACTTCACGGCCGACCTGACGCCTACCGACAGACTTGTGCATGCGACTTGGAACGCACTGGCATACGCCTTTGACGATGACCCAGCAGGAGGAGCATGCAGCCCGAACGCGACTGTGATCCTCGAAGACGACCTCCTCCCCACCCATGACGCTATTGAGTACTTTCTGATGGGGAAGGAGATCATGGACGAGGACGAGGAGGTTCTTGTAGTGTCAGCATGGAACGACAACGGGTTCAGCTTGCGGGAGGGACTTCGATGTGCGACGCTGAGGGGAGAATACTTCATGAGCTTGGGTTGGCTAACAACTAGGAGGGTGTTCGACAGGATTACCAGCCTCCCTCACTTGTGGCCCTCGGTATCTGTGGAGCATGATGGAGAGCAGGTGGTCGGCTCGGCCATTGACGGAGGGTGGGAGCTGCCCTTCCTCAAGCTGTTCAAGGAGACGGGAGTCGGCATATTCCCCGCAGTTAGCCGGGTGTGGCATCAGAGCTCGAGGAAGGGCTGGTCGGTCAACTCGCTCATCCAGAAGCAGGTCCTCAACGCTCACACCCGCCTCTCCTCAAACGCCTCCTGCACCTCCGACTGGACGCGAGAGAAGCGGTACGACCAGCTCATCGCCTCCACAGTCAGCAACGGCCAGTGGGTCAACCTGTCTCTCTACCCCTGCTACAAGTCCCTGCTCGCCCAGGCTGCTCCCTCCTCGTTCGTCCTTGCCACGGACCTTAAATTCAACTCGCCACCAGTCGTGACGCTCTTCCACATCTTCGGCCTCGTCAAGGGTTTCGGTAGAGCTCGGGGCTACTACAAGGGCGTCATCCGCTTCTTCTTCGCGCAGCACAACCTCCTCCTCCTCAACTCCAGGTCGCCCTTCTTCCGACAAGCCCCCGCCAGATTGAGGAAGCTGATGCTCAACGAGCGTGAACTCTCCTCTTTCCTCGATGGCACGTGCGCATGGCACAGGCAGGCTTCACATCCCCTGGCCGTCGTCAATCTCCCTTCCAGCCCTTCTGCTACCACCATCGTCACCCTCGCCGCGAAGCGGCAAAGCTGCAGCTCAGCTTGTTCGCAGCTGAACCGCACGTGCAAGGACTGGGCGGCTCTCTTGGCCTATTCTCCCTCCTTCCTATGGAGCCGAGGGAAGCTGGCACCCTTGAATCGCTCCTCCAGCCTCCTCCGGGGACGACCGGGCGTGGGGTACGGCTCCTACCTTGCCTTTGGCAGAGAGGATTTGCCCATCCTCAGCAAGGGGGAGGTGCTAGACGGTCTGCCTCGGCTGTTCCGGTGCCGTGCCGTCTCCGGTGAGGAGGAAAGAATCTGCCCCTGCCTTGAGAGGCAGTACGCGGCCATGGCAGGAGCTTTTGGGGTGTTAGGTACTCTCGATCGCTGAGCTCTGGTGAGCTCCACCAGCCTCATGCTCTCTGGAATTCTTCCCCTTCCCTCGCTCCTCCTCTCCCTCCTTCCAGCTCTATTCTTCTCTTCTACTCGCATGGCCTCGCCTGCGATATCGAACTCTGTTTCTTCCCTCCTCCTCCTCCCCCTCCTCCTCCTCCTCCACCTCCTCTCGTGTACATTTGGGAGGCCTTCCAATATTTTTAATTGCTTTCTTTGCAATCCATTCATCAAAAGTCTCGCTGCACTGACCGATCGTGTGTGCCCTCCCCAACTTGCTCCTATCTCTCCTCAGACCGCCATCCTCTCCAGCAACTTCTTGGGGCGCTTCCCGGAAGTAGGGTTGCGAACAATGTTCAGAGTGTGCTCACCTGAGCCGTTGCAGCCGCAAGTGATTGCGCAGCTCCTCTTCTTCACCCCAACCTCCACTGAAGATCCCTCGACTCCCCTCACCATCTCGGGCACCACATTCACGTCCAAGGCTCTGTTGCCATTGACGCTCACAATCACATCGCCAACCTGAAGAGCACACAGGTCAGGAGGGATGCGGAGGCTGCAACGTCTTGAACCTCAAGGCAGTTGCTCTTGTTGACTTCCTCTTGAAGGATCCACCAACAGGTTCCATTCGGAATGACCTCTGAAATCTGGATCTCTCTTCCTTCAACCTGCTCCATGCGCAGTCCAATCCCGCAAATGACCGGAGCTGCAGCCCCGAGCTTCACTCGCCCGCACTGGGCATGCTCTCTCTTGAGACGGTCGTACTCGTCCTGAAGTTCTTGCTGTGCCAATGTCAGCTTCTTGATTCTCTGTTCCAGCGCCAGGAGGTTGTCTGGACATTTCTGGTGTTCATCCCTGAGACGCTTCAGCTCTCTGGCATTGGCGTCAAGCTCAGCTTGAAGTTTTCGAATCTTGTCATCACATCCAGAATGCAGCCCTTTCAGCTACATGCTCATTCAACGAAGAAGAAACATTCCAGAAACAGACGCAAATACCTGCTTCATCTCTTTCTGCGAATCAGCCAGTTCATTGCGAAGACCTCCAATCAATTCGTCGCAGGGCTTGTGCTTGGCGATCGCCTGTACCTCCCTCGTCAGAGAGACAGCCCAAGGTGTACTCTCATGATGTCCCTACATCGTCGCGCTCTCCTTCGAGATCTTTCTTAGTCTTGGCCAAGGTAGCCTGAAGCTCCTGGATCTTCCCCTCGCAAGGCTTGTGTGCATCTGTCGCCTGCATCCCAACACAGTGAGCTCTGAAGAGCGCTCCCGGGTCTGCTCCTCTTCGCATCTCACAGCGCATCCCGCCACTACACACCTTCTTGAGGTCCTTCTCCAGCTGCTCGACACGCTCCTTGAGCGACTTGATCATCGCGTCGCAGGGCTTGTGCTTGGCGATCGCCTGTACCTCCCTCGTCAGAGAGACAGCCCAAGGCGTACTCTCATGATGTCCCTACATCGTCGCGCTCCTTTTCGCAGTCGAACTTAGTCTTGGCCAAGGTAGCCTGAAGCTCCTGGATCTTCCCCTCGCAAGGCTTGTGTGCATCTGTCGCCTGCATCCCAACACAGTGAGCTCTGAAGAGCGCTCCCGGGTCTGCTCCTCTTCGCATCTCACAGCGCATCCCGCCACTACACACCTTCTTGAGGTCCTTCTCCAGCTGCTCGACACGCTCCTTGAGCGACTTGATCATCGCGTCGCAGGGCTTGTGCTTGGCGATCGCCTGTACCTCCCTCGTCAGAGAGACAGCCCAAGGCGTACTCTCATGATGTCCCTACATCGTCGCGCTCCTTTTCGCAGTCGAACTTAGTCTTGGCCAAGGTAGCCTGAAGCTCCTGGATCTTCCCCTCACAAGGCCTATGGGTCTCTGTCGCCTGCGATGTAATGTGGTAAGCTGCTGCGATACGTCCCTCCTAACATCCCGCCACTACACACCTTCTTGAGGTCCTTCTCCAGCTGCTCGACACGCTCCTTGAGCGACTTGATCATCGCGTCGCAGGGCTTGTGCTTGGCGATCGCCTGTACCTCTCTCGTCAGAGAGACAGCCCAAGGCGTACTCTCATGATGTCCCTACATCGTCGCGCTCCTTTTCGCAGTCGAACTTAGTCTTGGCCAAGGTAGCCTGAAGCTCCTGGATCTTCCCCTCGCAAGGCCTATGGGTCTCTGTCGCCTGCATCCCAACACAGTGAGCTCTGAAGAGCGCTCCCGGGTCTGCTCCTCTTCGCATCTCACAGCGCATCCCGCCACTACACACCTTCTTGAGGTCCTTCTCCAGCTGCTCGACACGCTCCTTGAGCGACTTGATCATCGCGTCGCAGGGCTTGTGCTTGGCGATCGCCTGTACCTCCCTCGTCAGAGAGACAGCCCAAGGCGTACTCTCATGATGTCCCTACATCGTCGCGCTCTCCTTCGAGATCTTTCTTAGTCTTGGCCAAGGTAGCCTGAAGCTCCTGGATCTTCCCCTCGCAAGGCTTGTGTGCATCTGTCGCCTGCATCCCAACACAGTGAGCTCTGAAGAGCGCTCCCGGGTCTGCTCCTCTTCGCATCTCACAGCGCATCCCGCCACTACACACCTTCTTGAGGTCCTTCTCCAGCTGCTCGACACGCTCCTTGAGCGACTTGATCATCGCGTCGCAGGGCTTGTGCTTGGCGATCGCCTGAAGAAACTATGAGATGTTTAGTGGTGCAGGAAGTGATTTGTCGACTTCGTCTCTCTCTTTCTCTGTCTTCTGAATCACGTTCTTCAGTTCTGAAATCTGAGCGTTGACTTGGGCTTCAAACTGAGGGCGAAATGAACAATAGCAAGCAAATTGATAGTCAGACCTCGGTGAAGTGGCGGCGTTCCTGCTGAATGGTGTTCTTCAGTTGATCTAGGGTTGCTTGTACCGACTTCAGGTGGGACTCAGTCTCGGTTTGCATTTGTCTTACGTTGGCGGCAATGCTTCAACATGACGTTCAGTGACTCATGTGCAAGCAGCTGCAAGCATACGTGGCATCGTAGTCCTCTTGAGCAATGACCATCTTGCTCCACAAATCAACGGTCGCATCAATGAGGTCCGCTGCACGGTTGTCGCCGAATCGGACAGCAGCATCCTTAATCTGAGTGAAGTACTCGAACATCTGTCGTTTATCCGCCACTTTCTCAGTGGCCATCCTTTTCAAATTCACGACGATCTCTTCCCCGTTCTGCAGGCCAATCATTGACTTGACATGGACCACACAACCAACCCTCTTCCTGACGGTGACGGACACATCGCTGTCAGGGGTGTCGGGTCCAATCAGGAAATCTACGACGTTCTCCGAATCCACCTCGAGGCCATCCACCTGACCAGGAAGATCAGCGTTCCATCTACCTGGGCACCGACTGGAAGTGCAAGGATACCTTCAAGATCTGATCCCCCTTGGAGAGCTTCTTGCACTGCAGGCCGGGAGCTCCGATCATCAGGTTGTCGATGATGGCTCCCTGCAGGCATGGTCATCCGCGAACACGGCTGGAAGCCAGGGATCCGTGCATGGACATCTCACAGGATAACGAAACATGAAGTAGGACACGCTGAAGATGAAACGCCAAGACCGCAGACCAACAGCAAGGGCACAACAAAAGAACAACAACCGAATCCCACCCACCTTGAGCATGATGCCCACGGTCGCACGAGTCGCCGCAGCATTCCTCACGATCGTCACAAGGTCGCATGCGAGAGCGTCTGTGCCATTGCTGCTGGAAGCAGCCTGCATGCGGGAGCATGCGGTGTCGACAAGCGCGAGGAGTGGCGGGAAGCGAGCATCCGCGGCCATGGTTTGTGGTTCAGGCCAGCAGGGGTGGGGTCCTAAATATACTCCGAAGCGACGCAATATGTACATAGCTAGTGGGTACAAGGATGGGGGGTGATCATACAAGGGTGGGTGGGCGCATAGTCTGAGGAGGGGTTCATTTGATAGCTGTAGATGGGGATTTCAGAGATATATCGAATCCGTGCAGGTATGGGGCGGGTACAGGTGGGGTGATACCACCCCCTTTCCAGATGTTTGCTGCTACCCCCTACCCTGTTAAACTACCCACCAAAGCTATGAAAGTTGCCGAGTTGTATTTGAGGGTGGGTGGGCAATCAGTGATACCCCACCCCGCTCCTGGATGGGCAAGTGGGGGGTCACTGTCGTGGCTAGGTCCTCTTCGGATAGGGGATTCTGAACGGACACTACCCCTTGTTCCGACCTCGGATCTTTAAGGCCGGAGTAGGGGTGATTTCGGAGAATCTACAGGGGTAGGGGTTCCCAGATACATGTAAAAGGAGGGGGTGGTAGGACGAATCTGTCACAGTTGTTTTACTCAAAGTTAAAAAAGAACGATAAGGCGCAAGATGCGATCGAGTACAGAACATGCTGGGCGACCTTGCAGGCTGCCTCCCTGCATCGCCTCTGTGGCATGCAGCTATGCTCGTCCCAGAGTACTTCAGATACTACTACAGTCAGAAAATCCTGGCAGCAGCAGCGTCAAATTCTCCCCGAATGGCAAGAATCAGAGACTCAAACATCATTTCTAGATGAAGCAAGTGCTGAAGATCTGATCCTTCACCGTGCTTTCTAGCGACATCTGGAGTCCCCCTCAATAGCAAGTGGCAAGCCTCTTTCATAACCATCATGCGAGCTCGAACATCTATGGACTCGTCGGTGATGGCACGTTCTACTTGCCAACTCCTTCAAGACCTCGTTCTTTCACTTCTTCTTGGGACTGTCATTGTCATCGGAGGCAAGGGCGAGGTCTGTTGTGCGAAAGAATATTCCGGAGTGCGTCGTGCATGTGTCTTGGGTTTGGACTGATGATAAGGCGCGCATAAGTCGACACGTCAAATGGCAACCGGGTTGACTACGGGAAGACGCACTTTTTCATTTTCTTTACTTGAAGATACAGGACAGCACTCTTGCTGGGAGAGTTATGATCCGCGAGACAGCGCGCGTCCACCTGCAGGCATGCCGGGGAGTCAAGCAACATGCTGTTGGCAGCAGCAGGGGAGAAATTCACCATCCGGATCCCGGGAGCGCTGCACCTGTGCATATGTCGACCATTGATTCCAAAAGCCGTAAAGCGTTTCCCACGGTCCTCCCTTTCCATCTCGTCTCGATGAAATGAGCTATCGCGTATCTGGGCGGGGCGCAAATTTCAGTCACAGCTACATCGCACGATACATGTAGGGAAAGCAAGAAACAAGCTTACGTAGGCATATGGACCGTTGATCTGAATGCTTCTATCTTATACAATCTCTCCAAATATCTGAAAATCTGTCATTAAACGTGCAAGTGCTTTTATGCACATGCTACTCACGCTGTCAGATTCGGATAGTTTCTCATTCTCCGTATGTGACATCGAAATGCAGGATAGTAGCTGACGTCAAACCTTATCAAAGTTGGAAAGGCCATGACGTCCAACTCCGTTATTCTATCGCCAGCTAGAAACTGACGGCCTTTCAACACCGATTCACAGGCATCCATCGCACGGAAAGTCTCAATCAAAGCAGCTCGGTAAGCCTCCTCCCGCGCAGCGTATCCGCACTTGTAGACACCAGCATTGATCTTGTAGACGATCTGCCTTATTCTCTCAATCTCTTCTTGTAGATCGTCGGGATACAAGTCGATGCCGTTCACTCCCAAACTTCTGAAATTCTGGAAATCCATATCGAAGTCAGCAGGCCATCAAGCATCGTGCGAATCACTGACGGATTGCATCACCTGGTGTAAAATCCTAACAATTTCTCCACTCTCATTGTTGATAATCCTCCCAGTCTTTGAGTCCCACAGTGCAGGAATGGTCACTCGTCCTGTTGACTGGAAGAAAAATCAACAGTTTACAGTTTCACGGCTGCGCAATGAAGAAGTTGTCGTACTCGAGGATCAGTTGCCGAGTACAGTTCGTGCAGATAAACAGTTCCACTCTTAAGTCTGACGTGGTTGAACGGATCTCGGTTTGTTGATCTACCAAGTTAGCGCATGAGCGAGGAGGATAGGAGGTGGAAGGGTGCAATGCTTACTTCGAGTCTTGTTTCCGTCCTTTGGAAAATCGCCACCCCTTCGTCGCTATAGCAGGGAGCCCCTTGGAGATGGGCCAAATCCTGAGGAGACAAGACATGTGTCAATATCCCCACTCAAAAGCTCCTGTTTGCCATCTTCAAGCCTCCTTCTCACCCATCAGTCGCAATCACGCCAACTCGGCCTTGCAATCCCGCCAATCCATGAGCAATCAGCGTCCTCTGTGACCAGGGGTCTCCATAGCTGACCAGCAGAAAGTATCGTCCCTCTTCAACATCCTCCTCAAAGATCTTCCCTTTGAATCTCACTGCCAGCATCGCCTCCTGACACGCCTGCCCCTCTTGTCCCTCGACAGCAGGCTTGCCATTGATGAGGATCACCGCTCCTTTCTTCGTGAAAGGAAGAGCATTGGAGACAGAGTCAATCAGCCCACTCAGATATCCTCCTCTTGCACCGACCTCCCTCGGTCTCCTCACTACACTCTGCCTCCCCCTTTCCTTCCTCCGTCTAGCCGACTCAGCCATTGTCCCACCCTTGCAAGCCCACCCCCACCCCCACCCCCACCCACGAGCCCGAGTACCACACCCCCTGGCTCAGTTGACTCGGTGATCATCGGATGATCGGACCGTCGTTCCCCCGGGCCGGGCCGGGGAACCGGGCCCGGGCCCGGCCCGGTCGGTGACCGGATGCGCCGAGCGGGACAGGCTGCGAGTCAGTGTCACTCAGGTGATCAGTCGAGCCGAGAGAGGCAGAAGAAGCGAGAAAAAAGAAGTCATCGCATCGCGTTGAAGACAGGACTTCAAGTGCACAGCCCGGCAGAGCAGCCGGGGGAAGAAGAACAGGAGCAAGAGCACTGAGAAGAACTTGACGGCTCAGCGGCCTTCTGAGTGCCAGTAGACGTTGCCCACTCACTGCAGTCTCCTCACTCCGAAGACAGCGCCGTGAACATGACGGTAAGAGAGCGACGGGACGGTCCGATCTCCGGGAGGACCGTGACTTGAGGGGTCACTTCCTCTCGCACCGGGCTTTTCTGGAACTGTACCTCTGGGGCAAAGGGGTGGGGGTGGGAAAATTCAGAGGTAGGGGAGAGGTTAGCGAGCTGGAGGGAGTGGGCAGAGTGGGAGGGCAAGTGGCTGGGAATGAAGGAGTAAGAGTCGGCAGAAGAGAGCGAGCAAGAGAGGTTGATGGAGGGTCCAACGTTCGGAGGCAGGGAGAGGGGAGAGAAAGGGGAGGGGGAAGAGGGAAAGTTTTGTGGTTGGAGTGGGATGTGAAGGGAGGAAAAATGCGTACCTATCACCCGTAGACCCTGCCCCTTGCTGATTATGTCTGTAGATTAAAATTTACAATCCTTCTACGGGAGAGGAGGTCGAGCTCGACTACAGCTCGTCAGAGCCTGCGCAGCTTCACATCCTGAATAAGAGCAGCAAGGCTGTCGCAGTTCTCTGGATCGATGAGAAGAAAGTTGAAACAGAGTACGCTAGGGTTGAGGCAGGGGGTTCGGTCATACAACCAACTTTTGTGGGACATCCCTGGATCTTGAGAGACTGCATCAAGCGCAGGATTTTCTTCATGCATGTCGCTGGTCCAGGAACATGCCGGCTCATCGTACAGCAGCACGCAACTCGTCATGACCTTTTGGATGCGCATGTGGAGCAGGAAGAATCCTCGGCTCCTGTTGATGCCCCTGATGCCGCGCAAGGATCGATCTCGGTTGACACTTCACCAGCTGTCGAAGTTGAGAAGGATCAGGAGAGTGAACCTCCGCAGCCTGCGGATGGAACGAACGCGGATGGAACGAACGCGGACGGAGCGAACGCGGACGGAGCGAACCTGGATGGAGCAGACGCGTTGGCTGAGATCTCACCGGGGTCGGAGGAAGAGAAGAAAGATGGTGACGGAGCAGGAGAATTGAATGCTGAGGTGACAGAGGCGGTGCAATCGTTGACGATTGATCAAGAATGCGGCCAAGAAGAGCCGTGCGAAGAAGGATATTGCGCCAGAGATGTCGCAAAGACTTGCGCTGGAGATATCAGCATCTGTGCCTTTGGCTGCGTCTCGAAGAGGGCGATCGAGGTGGCCAAGCATGTTGTGCAGAAAATGCTCGAGCACGCCTCCAAAGACGTCTGCGATCGTCTTGTCTGCGGGTTCGCGAGCGTTGCTGTGATAGGGCGGAACCAAGTCACGTCCGACATGCCCCCACACGCCTTCCTCAAGAACTTGCAGACTGGAGAGGGCTCAGGCCGCAGCTACGACACAGGATGTCGAGGAGTGGGAGGGACTTGCAAGGTCCCTTGCACCTCAGTCGGGGAGGAGAATCTGCTCATGGAGGACGGCGACCGCTACGGGGAAGAATCGATCCTCGTGCACGAGTTCGGACACTGCGTGATGAACGGTAGGAGCTGATGATCGTAAGTTGACAACTTGCTTGGCTCCCTGACCGCCCCACAGTTGGACTCAGCTCGGCCCAGCTCGACCGGGTTAAGTACTTGTATGAGCACGTGAAGGCGGCCGGAGGCCACGGAAACTCCAGCAGGTGAGCAGCAGTTCCCCAGCAGGAGGGTCGAGCTCTCCGCTAACCTGCCTTGATTGCAGCTACCTCATGTCGAACGCCGAGGAATACTGGGCGGAGATCACCCAGGCATGATGCATCACCTCCTCCGTTCCTCTCGTATCCCCCCTCCCTCTCCCCTTCCTCCTTCCCACTTTGCTTCATCCCTCTTCCTTTCTCTTCCTCCCTTCTCCTTTGTCCTGAAGCAGCTTGCAGGCCTGGTTCGAGGCCAACTCGAGGGAGGACGTCAACTGCGGGATCAGGACAAGGGAGGACGTGAAGAAGAGGGACCCGAAGCTAGCTGAGCTCCTGCTCGAGGTGAGGAGCAGTGGGAAGGAGTATCCCAGGGAGGAGTCCAGCTGACGGGGAGCTGAAGGTGTACGGTGATGGCGAATGGCGGTACTTCAAGGATTGCCCGAAGCCTGAGAAGTGGAAGAGATACAAAACGAAGTGAGTTGAGGAGGAGGAGGAGGAGGAGGAGGAGGAGGCAGTCAGCGTGTGTTCGTTCAATCCCCTCACGCTTCAGGAGCTAAAGAATAAATTTTTGGACTGCTCGACTCTCACAGTCTCTTCTGATTGAAGATGCTCATCCTTTGCGCTCTCGATGACATGCTGCCGCAAATTTCAGACCTTCTGCTTCCTGATCCCCCACTCGCGCAATGCATCCCCTCCTCCCTCTCCCTCTCCCTCATGCTCATGCGTCTTCACGCCCCCTCTCACCTGAACGCAGACTCCCCATCCCCGTCCATCAGGTAAGGATCCCCCCCTTGCGACACGAGCAGCCGCCCGATCGCATCATGGCCCTCCATCACCACGAGGTGGAGTGGAGTGATACCATGCTTGGTCTGCCTTCTCAGTCAGTTCCTCCTCCTTTTCTCTTCCTCACCCATCTTCCAATTTCTGACGTCCTCCTATTCTATGAACTCGACTCACCATACCGATCGCACGCCTCTCCTCCTAACGTGACTTTCTTCCCCCTCCATTTTCTAGTTCCGGGTCCTCCTTCTCTCGTCCTCCTACCTTCACCTATCCTCCCCTGCCTCCTGCCATCCTTCCTGCATCACCTGTGTGTTCGGGTTCGCTCCAGCGTTGAGCAGGAGATGCGCTATCCTCTCGTGCCCGTCCTTGCACGCGATGTGCAGAGGAGCGATACCCTTGTGAGTCTTGATGTTGACCTACACGGCACAGTGAGCAGACTGTGAGGGGCAGGAGCAGATTGTCGAGGATGGCAGCGCAAAGGGGAAGATGTCGGCCGAAGAGCGAATGGTTCCAAAGAACATTTTCGGTGAGGACAGGAGCAAAGGGCAGCAGAACGAGGAGGAGGACGGGTTGGGTGGCCACTCACATCCGAGCCAGACTCTAGCAGGGCCTCGGTGACTCGCAAGTTTCCCTCCTGCACGGCGATGTGGAGGGCAGTGAGCCCGTTGCTTGTGATGGCATTGACCTTGCACTGGAGGAGGAGAAGTTACCTTCCCTTCCTCTCCTCTTCCCTTCCTTCTTCTCACCTTGAGCCCTACCAAGAGCTTCACTGCAGCAACGTGCCCGCCTCGAGCAGCTAGATGCAAGGGAGCGATGCCCTCATTCGTGGTTACATCCTGCCCATCACAAACTGAGGGTCAGAGACGAGAGCAGGAGCGGGGCGGGAGAAGGCGGGGAAGGAGGAGGCAGATTACAGGGCAGATGGACAGGGACAGGGATGAAGAGGAGGAGGAGGAGGAGGAGGAAAACGGTTGCGCACCTTCTCTCCTCCATTGTCAAGCAGGATGGCAAGGGTCTTTGTGTGACCTCGGTCTGCTGCTGCATGCACCGGCTGCACTCCTCCTTCATCCGCGCACCTGAGGTCGGCATTCCTCTGGAAGAGTTTCAGAGGAAGTGTGGGAGAGAGCGAGAAGCAGGGAGGAAAGACAGAGAGAAGCTAGAGAACAAGCATTTAGGACGAAGGAGAGGGGAGGGAGGAGAGAGGAGAGAGGAGAGGGGAGGGAGGAGAGGGGAGAGAACGAGAGGAGAGGGGAGGGAGGAGAGGAGACAGAAGCAACGGTCACGACAAGTTCGGCTACCTGTATCAGCAACTTGACAATCCCTTCCATCCCTTGCAGTGCCGCGTAGTGGATCGGTCTCCGTCCCATCAGGTTGGGCTTGTCAAGGTCCATCCCAGGATGATTGATGAGGAGAGTAGCTATCTTCTCCTGCCGCTCCTCCAGCGCCTGCATTACGCGTCAGGACCTGGCGGGGAGCAGGGAGCTCTACAAACCAGGTGAAGGGGAGTGTTGCCGTTGGTGTCGGTCGTGTTGACTTCCGATCCCTCCTGCTCTAGCAAGAAGGAGACCGAGTGAACATGCCCCTCCCTAACGGCCACGTGGAGGTGCGACAATGGCATGAAGTTCGGTTCAGGTTCCTCCATGGGCGGGGATTCGATCGGCAGGCTGACGATCCTGCAACGGGATCAATTTCGCTTGTCAGGAAGGGAACTTTAACATGAGAGGCGAAAGGGAGAGGAGGCGTGGATGTAACCCATGTCAGGGAGCAAGACGGAAGCAGGGTGAGCGAAGGCAGGGGGCACGGAATGGGTGAGCAGGCAGATGGGATGGAGGTGGAGCAAGTGAAGGAGAGAGAGTGTGAGCGGAAGAGATGGAGGATGGGAGGGAATGGAAACTTACTCGCTGCTCCTCCTCCGCAACCCTCTTCCTTCAGCGCGAGCTTGCAGCGTTAGCAGCAGCTCTTCGTTGGACTTGGCCGCTGTTCCGAACATCCCAGAGTTGATTAGAGCGAAGGTGACATCTTCAGCTGCGGCAGACATGGGCTTCCTCCGGCTTGAAGGACATCGTGAGAGAGGGCGGGGAAAGGCAACATTCACCTCAAGAATCGCCGAGCTCCTAACTGCTTCTTGTTGAACTCCTTCCCTGTTGGATTGATGTTGCTGACGCGCAGGATGGTGTTGTTGTCTAGCTGCACCTCCAGCATGTTCCCAAGGTCCATCTGTCCCATAGTGTACAGGAAGTACAAGCAAGTGGCTTCCTTTCAGGTCGCCTTGCGCATTTATCACCCAGATTCAACACATATTTCAGTGACACTTTGGTGGGGCTAGAGGACAGCCCGTGTTACAGCAGCTCGACATCAGCGGTCACTTCTTCTCATGTTCTGGCCCAATCAATGAATGAGAAGTGTTCCTGCCATCAAAGGATTCAAAAGATGAAGTAGAGGCGAATGGAAGTATCAACGACATCATCGATAGGTTTCAAGCATAGAGCAGATGGAGCCGAATGCAGACAACCTTCATTGCTGATAGCAACTGCTGATTCTTGTCCTCACAACCTATCCATCACTTCCCATATCCCTCCCTCCCTCCCCAGCCACCCTCCTCCTCCTCTTCCTACTACCGATCATCCCACCCCAGACTGCCATCCCCCGATCAACGGATCAACCACCCCACCCCCACGCCAATTCTTCGAATCCAAGTATTCAACCCCCTTCTTCTAAAATCTTTAGGTTTACTCAAATATATTTAATGATACATAAATTAGTTAATAAAGTAATAATTGTACCCACCCACCAAATGGTTTATGCTCTTTCATTTGTAGGGGTCCTCGATCTTTCAGTTTGGCTAATGTACCCCTCTATGTGTCTATGGAAGAGGGGGTATTCATTAACCCCACCCCACCAATCCCCTTCGACTTCAACACCCCCCAAAATAACACCCCCACCATAGTATTTCTGCAGCTTTTCTGTGACAAGACCGGTACAATTTCACCCACCCCTCTATTGGACAAATCCGCTGGGTACATCACCCCCACCCCATAATTTCAATATTTGTCCTCACCCCTACCCTTTAAAATCCTGGATTTCAGGGGGTGATACAAACTAAACACCCTGAACTCAGTAGAAAAGGGATTCTGAACTAAACTTGTAAACCCCAACAATTCAAGAGAAAAGTACCCGTACTTCCACATACCCTAAGAGCGATTGAACACCACCCCCTTGGGGGTCAGGGACAGAGCGGCGCCTGCAGGGATGGAGCTGTGGGAGGATACGATCTATGTGTCCGGCCTGCCGAAGGATATCACCGAGCAGAGGTGAGGAGGAGGAGGAGATGAGAGATGAAGATGATAGATGAAGATGGACACCTTGGGGGCTGTTCTGCTTCATGAGATCAGGATTCTTTGTCGCTTCTCCAAGGCTGTTCTTTCATGTTGTACAGATTTTTATCATTCATTCAGAGCTCTGTGTGCTCGACGGGGTTTTCTTGTTTACTTGATTGTCCCATGTTTGAATTGAAACAATGGTGTGATAAAGAGGCCTCGCTAACCATCATTTTGCTGTGTCTTGTGGCTGACTGTGACGTACAGGCTTGTGGACTTCTTTGGGCAGATCGGTATCATCAAGGAAGGGAAAGGAAAAGAAAAAGGCAAAAAGAAAGTCTGGATCTACAAAGACAAGGCTACTGGTGAACCCAAAGGAGATGCAACAGTCTCCTACGACGACCCCAACGGCGCTAAGTATCGCGCGATGGTTGATTGCAACCTGCTATCCACCTTACCGTCAATGGCAGGGGAGCCGTAGATTGGTTCAACAACAAGCCCTTTGAGACCACCAACAATATTATCTCAGTCTCTATCGCCCAACGCAAAGCCTCCAACTATGCTCCGCGGGGAGGGGGTCGCAGAGGTACCAGAGGCGGGAGCTTTATTCGCTGGAACTGATGTATTTGAAGGTGGACGAGGTGGATATGACCGTGGTGGGTACGGAGACAGGGGAGGTGGCTATGGCGATGATGGCTACGGAGACCGACGAGGGTGCTGATGATGCATTCTAACGATCTCAACGAAATGATTGGAAGCACCTGAAATAGGGGTGGAGGCAGAGATGACTACGACCGTGGAGGCGGAGGAGGGTGTGTCAATCAAAGTGCATTGACAAGACCGATGATGTACGATGAACAGAGGTTGGCAAGATCGTGAAAGAGATCGGGAAGGATATGGAGGAAGGTAATTGACAGTCAACGATTTCTACGTGGAGCGATCTGAGCCTGGTGCCATGGAAATTCTTTTTGTAGAGGTGGATATGGAGGCCGAGATGGCGGGTGAAAACTCCTTCTGCTCTCCATCTATTCTTTGATACATGCGCCCAAAGCGGAGGGTATGGTGACCGTGGCTATGGCGGCGGCGATGGAGGGTATCCATGCTACTTGAATTTGAATTCGCGTGACTCATATGTTTCCCGTCTTTCGCAGCGGTGGACGAAGATATGAAGGCAATAAATCACTTCGTGCTGTTGTATGTCTGATGATTGCGATGTAGGTGGCCGTGGAGGTGACTACGGCGGCCGTGGAGGTGACTACGGCGGCCGTGGAGGCGACTACGGCGGCCGTGACGGGTATAAGAAATCCGACCGTTGTAATAGAATCTCACACGTTTACAGCGGAGGTGGTGGTTACCGTGAAAGCCGTGACATGCCAGGCGGTATGACATGGACGATCATTACCAGTATTGATTGATTCGTCTACAGGCCATGACGATCCTCGCGGCGGCTATGGTGGACCACCAAGGTAGACTAGGACTATTCACAACATGACGGTGATTCGGCAATTGAAAACGATGAATTGCAGAAGGGGCGGCTATGACGACCGGGACAGACAGTACTGAAGTCTCGAAGGTTGGAGTAACGTAATGTGCGGCAGAGCCACGGCTTTGATTGATATATCTAAAAGCTGCACAAGTGTTTTTCCCTTGCGCCAGAAAATCTCTCGTCTTGTGCGAGGATAATTGCAATAAACTTCTTATGCGCTCTTTTGCAAGATGTCTATAGGCTGTATGGAAACTAGAGAGAAAAAGTTCCATCCCACCTACAAATAATGTGCTCAATGTCAGAACAGCTTCGTTGGAAGGTAACATTTGCACGTTCGTTAAGTAAACCTTGAGGGATCAAATAGAGCATTAGAATAAATTCCTTCGAGAAGTTTACTATCGCATTCATGAGGCTCACAAGCTCCACGCACGGAAAGGGGACCAAACTGAACCTAATTTCGTAGCAGAGAAGATCAAAGATGTACAGATTTCTGAATTTGATGTCATGGAATCAATGGATTCTCAGTTCGGGCTGCAACAAGAAATGATGAGCAGCTGTCGTAGGCCTCTCCAAGGGGTCATTGTTACCTGTTATTCATAGAGGTAGAGGCTGTGTATCCGTTTGTTCGTGGAGTTGAGAACCTGGAATGCGATCTCACAAACATCGTGAGATCGTCCGGGTTGCTCACATGGTCGCAGAGAGCGTTCTCGGAGTCGAATATGGCGAATTCCCTATTGATCCTAGAGACCAAGCTTAATCCAGATGCAGGGACGCGAGGCTGATTACGTGGGCTTTGCTGAGGTATCCTCTTGCGCTGCAATTCAACCACGATGTGTTCATATGTGCCCTCACTCGTGACCTTCAAGATCACAGGAGATCAGAAGAGTGAAGGGTTGACGTCGGTTATGATGTCAGGGCCTCACCAAACTTTCAGGAAAAGGTTTCAATACTGTGCCCTCTGGTGGTGGCCCATCGGAGACCAATCGTAGCAGCCCAAGCTTCACCGTTGTTCCCGGCCTGCCAAGGAGTCGCTTCGCAACCTGCAGGCATGTTCTAAGACTGGACAAACTTGAAGCACCTGCAGAAGACCTCGTTAGCTGGCCTTCGGTATACGTCTGCATCATTGATCGAATGAAGGATATCGCCGGCCTGAAGCACATGAAGCGCTCAATCCATGGGCGCAAGAAAGCTTGCAATACCTGAATCATGCGCGATTGTTCTGCACTACTTCCTGGCACCAAGCTATGCACAACTAGAGCCAGAAAGGTATCGCTTTGAAATGATGGCTTTAGAACTATTCCAACCCCAACCGTTTCAGCCACTGGAGATTGATCGGGATTGCTTGCCACTGCTTTCACTCGATCTGTTTTTCTGCCCTCATTTGTCAGATCATACCTTGAAGCACTTTGAAGTTACCTGCAGTCGCAACATGCAAAACTCATGGTTATTCAGGTTATACTAGCTTAAAGGAGATATCGCTGGCCTTCGTTCGAACCTGGCAAAAGAAAGTCAATAGGAAGCAAGCCGGACAATGAATGAATTGAAAGGATATCAAATTTTGCATTGGCATACAGACTAACAATCTTATAATCGCATCAGCACAGTGATTATTTCCTGTTGAAACCCTCTAGACAACAAAGGAAAATTTCCGATTCGATCCATTCTCGAGCCTTGGAGGACTCCACTCACTCAGCTGATCTCAGGTCAAACAAAGGTTTGATCCAGCTTCATATGGAACATCATGCAGCAATCACTTGGTTATCACAGCTTCTAGCATGAACAGAAAAGCACAACTCTCCTCCTCCTCCTCTGCCTCCTCCTCCTCTGCCTCCTCCATCCATCGTCCACATTCAATGCATTCTGGCCCGTAGGAGCAGCCGCGGGCCGGTGGCCGTACCCCGTCCTGCTAGCAGAAAAAGTGAACTCGAGGGTGGGGGTAGTTTCTCAGAAACATGGGGTATGAGAGAACAGGTGGTGGGATAGGAGGGGTGTGCAGACCATACATGGAAGGGCATAGTAGGGGTGGTTGTCTATTTGCTGAGTTGAAGAGGGGTAGGGTACTCATTTGAAATTGAAAGCTAACTTGACGGGTACTTTTCCATATGAGACGGAGGGGTACTCGACACTAGGGGGTACTCTATCCATTCAGCCATTGAGCAATTTTGCCCTGGCAGCGCGGCTCGGCCCGGCCCGGACTCCGAGTCTCGGCGGCGGCCCGGCCCGGCAGCTCCGGGCGGCCCGGCTGGCCCGGACTCCGATTGCCAGGCGGTGACCGGCTGATCAGCCTGCCACAGTCGGAAGCAGCCGGCCCTTCCGAGTCCAGCGTCTGGCCCAAGTTCAGCCCGGATGATCTTCTGCATCAATCATGGCAGTTTTCAAGTCACTGTTGACTCTGCATCAAGTTACAAGAGGACTAAGTTCTGATGCCAATAGGGGACGTCGTCAAACCGCACGAGCTCGCGCTTGGTCCCTGTGAAGGCCAGGGACAGGGTGCGCACAGGCCCATCCCCCCACCTGCTCCTCAGGAAGCCGCCAAGTCTGTCGAGGGCGTCGAAGATCTCGAGCTGAGCTGGGCTCCTCCAGAAGGGGAGATGCAGAACCTCCAGATTGTTGTAGAAGAAGGAGCCATCCCATCTCCCCAGCTGACTCCCTAGCAACCCTCGATGCACCAGCAGTTCCTCCGAGCTGGGCGCCTGCCCTGTCTTGTCGAGCCTCCCCGCTACTCCCCTGACGGCCTCGTAGAGCCCTGCGCTGAGCGACGGGTGCTCCACCGCCCGCGCTAGGAAGCCGTAAGCGCCTCCAGTCTCGTTCATGGCGAGGAAGGGGTCCCGAGGAAGTGGAGCAAGGAGGAAGGAGTCCGTGTCGAGCCGCATGTAGTACTCCATGCTCCCAAGAGCTTTAGTATGGAAGATGGGACCAGAGAAGAACCTGCACATGTTTCTGTATCCCAGTCCTTGTGTTGGCGCCTCGGAGAAGAAATTCATTCCCTGCCCCCTCACAGCAGCGGCAGGATCCTTGAGATGCTCCTCCTGCTCCCTCAAGTCCACGAGCTCGAAGGAGAGGTCGAGGACGAGGCCGGGAGTCTCCTTGATCCAGCGCATGTTGTCTGAGCTCAGGCCGTCGTGGAAGACGATGACGGGGTAGAAGCCATGGATGTCGAAGAAGTTTGACTGGAGGAGGAGGAGACTGTGGTAGAGGTCTGTCAAGTCTTCCGTGGAGTTGGACGTGAGGTAGACCACCGAGCAAGCTCTCATCGCTCCTGCCTCCTTCTGCTGCTCCCCTCTCCCCTTCCTCTCCCTGCCCTCCCCCGTCCACTTCCTCCCTGCTGCTCCCCCATACGAGGGGGAGAGGTCGATTGTCCCGTCCTCCAGCCTTTCAAGAAGCCGTTCCATCATCCTCTTCGGCCGCTCCTCGTCGATGAGGATGTTGTCCGAGTAAGGAGCGATCGCAAACTTTGACTTGTCCTTCGCTTGGGCGATGGGGGCGAGGGCTAGGGGCAGCTCCTCGTAGTTCCCCGTCCTCAACATGATCTGCCCGATCAGCATGTAGATGTTCGAATCCTTGGGGTTGAAGCTGAACACTCGCAGGAGATGGCACAGGGCTTGAAGGTAGACAGCGCTGCTGCTGGTCCTCCTTACTCTCCTGCCAACCCTCGACAGGTCGCACATCGTCACTCCGCCGTCAAGGAATGAGATCCGTTGAGGCTCCTGCTCCTGCAAGAACGATTGCATCCTCTCAAAGTCGTGCTCTTCCAGCGCCAACTTCATCCACGTCATGGCGAGGAACATGCTGCATCCATCGGGCAAGTGAGAAGGGGAGGAGAGAGGCAACTTTCGGCTACTCACTTGGTGTCTGCTCGGTCGGATTGTAAGTTATCACTGACATGGAGATGAAGGCAAGATTGAGCCCACGACATGTTGTCGTAGAAGATGATGCCCATGTTGAAGTGAGTCTTGGACAGAAGTTCCTGCATTCTCAAAGGTCAGGTTGGACACCAGAAGATGAATCAGTTCAGGGGGATATGAATGCAAACAGGACATCGGATGGGTTCATGTCTGCAAGAAGACACGGGGATACGAGTTGCAAGGTAGCTACCAAAGACTATCAGACCGCACAAACACAGAGCTCGTCCGAGTACAGTTTTCAGACCGTCAACAGGACAAGAAGGCATAAAGTCAGACCTGATGCTTCTCCTTCTGCTCCAACAGCTCCGAACGAGCCATTTCACAATGCTTCAGACCCTGCTGTCCTTGCTGGACGAGTCGGAAACTTGCACAAAGATCGAGGAGCAGCTTTGCTCGTCCCTCTCTTTCTGTTCTCATTTTCAATATTTTCTCCTTCCCCTCCGACCGCTCAAGTTCACCAGTTGCAGGCAGCCAACGCAAAACACGTTGGAGAAGGGAGATGGCGGCAAAGACGTCCCCTACCTTGATTGAGATCTCAGCACGATAAATCAAGAAAAGTGGTAGAGGAGGAGGAGGAGGAGAGTTGGTGGGTAGGAGCGACAAATAGGAGGAGGAGCAAGAGGGGATAGGCGGGATTGACGGGCTTGAGGAACGAGCATATATACCTGATCTCGAATGCGATAAGCTTCTAAGCAGCAGGCATGAACAAGGAAAGAGAAATCAAAAGGCGGAAGAGATGGGTCCCTAAGAGCTCTAATGAAAGGACAAGGGAAAGATAAGGACGGGAGGAGTCAGAACATGCGGAGGGAGGGGACAAAGCAAGAAATCATCAGATTTTGAACCAGTCAAGTTCATGCTAAGACAAGATAGTCCAACCTTCCATAGGCCTTCAACGATGCTGCGTACTTTTCGGACTTCTCGTAAGCCTTTGCCATGCTCACAAGGTTGTTGAGCTTCAAAGTTTTCATCTCCTCGGGCTCCTGCCCGAGTTCGAAAGCCTCCAAGTCACTGATGAGCCTTTCCACAAGATGAAAACTGCGCAATGCGATCGAAAAGCTGAAGATGCAATTCCAACATTTAGAGAGAAATTTCATAGAACAAAGTCCTGGGCACTCACTTCCCATGAAGGTGGCCAAAGGCACCAAGGCGGAAAATCTGCCAAGCCAAACTAGCCATGGCAGACTTGGAGGCAGGAAGTCGAAGAGACGAGCACAACAAGAAATCTTGCTGGCAAAAAAATGCAGAATCCCAATCCTGCACAGCAACATGAACAACTGGAAACCCACGACTAAACATTCTCAACCTTCTCCCTCGCATGTTCCTCGCACTCCTTCCTTTGGCAACTCTCCACATCCGCCCGATCGGGGGGAGTCTTGTGAAAGGCGTCAACGCTGCGATGACTCACAGTAGAATCTGACTACCTTGCTTGCTGCCTCCTGCTCCTCATCCAAGTCATTCTCGTCGAACAAGATTTGCGCTGAGGGAGAGCTGGAACGAACTTCAGGCAACGCAGCAGCGACAGGCGATGACGTCATCACACTATCTGTACGGCGCGTCTCAGCCATGTCTTCAGCCAGTCATCCCCGACTGCTCCACCTCCTCTTCTCGCCCGCAATATTGCCAGCGAGGCTGAAGAATACAACCTGACGCGTTCGGTCAAACCATGAGGTCAAAGATGCTTCGAATCACCGAAACAACACCCTCCTCCTCTCGTAGGGCAGAGCTGAAGGGCGAGAAAGCAATCTTGGAGTGCGGAAATCATGTCAGGCATGATGGAGCTACGAGACAAGAAGCGAGGACCGCTCATCTTGCAGCGAGTTGGCTGCATACGTGAAACATTGCATCGCGTCGCTAAAGCGTCCCTGGTCCGCAAGGGCCTCACCTTGAGAGGAGAGACTCTCGGCATTGCTCCAGCACCTTCAAGGAGGGCTCGGTCACGCAGGAGGAATCCAAGAGGACGCGCTTACTCCTCATCGAAGTCTCGACATGAACGCGGCACGCATCTCCCGCTATCCTCCGACGATGGAGAGATGAAGAGCAGGATGAGGAGAGCCAACGTGACGCGCATCCCCCATGTCGGCTCACCTAGATCATCCATGGCAACGTCAACGTTGACGGCCCTCTAGCAGTTGGACCGGGTGACCAGACAGGCAGGAAAACTTGGCTACGAGGAAGGGGTACATGCCGAGGATCAACAGGAGAAGTCACCTCCCAAGGTGGTGGTGTGTGTGGGAGGAGGATGGACAGAGGAGGATGTAAGTGACGGGATCTGACGGAAGGGAAGATGGAGGAGGAGGAAGGGAGCGCAGCGTTCTCGAGCCGCCTGCTTGTAAAACCAAAAAAAGGATAAAAAAAAGAAACGACCCGGCCGGGCTCGGTAAAGGGCCGTCGGCCGCCGGGCTCGAATCCTCCAAAGGAACTGAAAACTTGGAAAAAAGTTCTTTCTGCGGAACAAAATCCAAACAAAATGAGTGAACAGGTGAGTGCGGCCGGCCTGGCAAGAGCAACCAGGGGAAGGGGAGGGAGGGAGGGAGACAGAGACAGAGACAGAGACAGAGACAGAGACAGAGAGACAGGGGAAGGGGCAGAGGAAGAGACAGAAAACGAGAAAGACGAAGGTAAAGAGATCGAGAAAAGGAAATTCAGATGGACTTGCGCTCTATCAATGAAGCTCTGTCATTAATTCATTCAATACGAAAGAAGGACATGAAGTTTGACTGCTTGTGGGCGGTAGTTTGATGTAGTTTAATGTAAGAGGAAAGATAGATGTAGCGTATCAAATCTACAGGCAGCTCCCGACATTTTGTTTGTTTCGAAGGTGACGAATGTTTTCAGAACGTGTGTCGCTATTGTCTGGATGAGGAACCCAAGGACAAGCTCATGAATCCCTGCCGTTGCGCTACACCTGGTGGGTCAAGGCTGCCGCTGGTTTGGGGAGGAGTATTGATCACTGATGTGCCGGCAGTGCACAGCGATTGCTTGGAGAAGTGGATAACGTTGGGGGAGAGGTCTGCAAGGAATCTCAGATGTGAAGTATGTCAGAGGTGACAAGCTCCTTATGCCACCTGTAGCTCGTGATGATGTTTCTTACAAACAGCCTGATACGAGCGAGGCTGCAGCTAGCTCCACTCCACACTCTCTTCACGTTCAAGGGAGGCAGGAAGATCTTGGTTTGGATGGTCTTGAGACTGGGATACAGAGCTTTCATCATACGGTTGGCTCCCTCCTCTCTCCCTCTGATCTCCAGTGCCTTCCTCACTCTTCCATTCCAGCCGCCTTGTGCACAGATTTCGACCTATCATGAAGAAATGGAGCGAGAAATTCGCCGCCAGGAGCGTGAAACTCTTGGGTGAGTCCAGTACGGGCGGGGGGACAGAGGTGGCTCACGTGTTTGGTCCCCAGACCTGCTGGCTTGCGGGAGGGACTCAGCGTTTGTAGGCTTGTTCTCCTGGCTGTGTTTACAGCTCCTCCTCCGAGACCTTCAGTGGTGATCTGCCCGCTGGTGGCTGCGATCCTGTGGCATGACTGCTCCTTCAGGTTCTGGCGCTCGGCCTCGCGGTTCAGGAAGGAGAACGCTGTCCTCACCTTCCTCGATGAGAAGTCGATGGGCCCGGAGGAGGAGCAGGAGCAGGAGCAGGAGCAGGTGGGCCCCGCTCGCACGAGAGCCCGCGCCGTGACACGACCTCACCCCATCTCGATAGGAGTCGCAGAATCACGAGCAAGGGGAGCAGGGGTCGGACGGCGGAGGGAGAGCGGGCTTCCCTAGATTCTTGCTGGCAGCTCGGAATTCACTGTTGTTTGCTCCTCTCCCCCCTCCCCACAGCCTGACTCGCTTCCTCCGTCCAGGTTTCATTGGATGAGCCGGTCGCTGCAAGATCGCCTGTCCTTCCGTCTCCACATCTCGCAGGTCCTCCCTGCGCTCAACTTCCATGCATGTCACCTGAACCCCGCGTAACAGGCACAAGCGGAGTTTGTGCTCGGGATGAGATGAGGGTAAAGGCGCGCAATGCCACGGGATGGAGCAGGAGCAGGAGCAGGAGCAGGAGCAGGAGCAGGAGCAGGAGCAGGGAGGGCTGGCCCTTGTAATATTAGGAAGTGAATTTATGACTCATCCTACGCATATCCTCCTCTTCCTCCTCATTCTCCTCCGCTTCACCCTCGCACTCTGTCTCTCTGCCTCCTCCCCCGCCCCCCCGTCCCGCCATCGTTTCATCCCAAATAAAGATTTCCCCGTTGGGCTTTCCTCCCGCAAACTTTTTACCCTCCGCCCCCCATGCACACCGAGGGCGGCGGACAGGCAGCAGGGCAATGAGGAGATCTGGATACCTCTACCCGCACACAAGCAGCCGCCCTCTTCTCTCCCTCTCCCTCCTTGCCTCTCTCCTCCTCTCCCGCATCATTCCTGTGCGCTCTCTTCAGACCTTCCTCGCGGTTCGCTGCATTGCGCTCCGCACATGGAAGCTAGCCTCGTGCGGTACAGCACCGGCGATCAGGTCCTCAAGGAGCTTTCCTCGCACGCCCATGTCGCACTGGACGGCAAACGAGGGCGACAGCATGCCTGACCCGAGTCTGAGGCTGTGGGATGCGCATAACCACCTTCACCTCACCCCCGACAGCCGCGACCTCCTCGACCTCCTGCAGGTCGTGATCTCATGCTTCAACACCTCCGCTGACAGCTCAGGGGTAGCCCGAGGAGGATCAAGTCTGCTTGTCGCTCATGGGCACGAGGGTCTCTGACTGGAGCGCCATCGCCGACCTTGCGGCCCAGCATGCGAGCAAGCTGGTGCCGAGCTTCGGGTTCCATCCTTGGTACGCGCTCGTGTGCTGCCGTGTGCATCGTGATGGAACTGAGAGAGCAACGAGGTGGGCGCACGAGAGGGTCGAGGAAGACTGGAAGCAAGAGCTCAGGCGCCTTCTGCATCAGCACCCGTCCGCCTGCGTCGGCGAGATCGGACTTGACGGCCAGTGAGTTGAACATGTACCACGGAGAAGAAACTTTGACACCCTGACCGACCAGGTGGATCCCACCAGGTCTTGACAGCGTTCAGTACGAGAAGCAGAAGGAAGTCTTCCAGGCTCAGCTCGAGATCGCGACGGAGATGTCTCGACCGGTCGCCCTCTCCTCGTCATCGCTGGCCTGACGCTGCTGCAGGTGTCGTTGCATTGCGTGAAGGCATACGGGGACATGTTTGACATGCTGAGGTTCTCCGACGAGCTTCCTCCAGCCATCTACATGCATTCATTCGGGGGGAAGGTGAGGGGTGTGACCTCCCTGCTGCGAGCTGGGGCTGATGGAGACTCAGGTGGGGATGCTGAACAGTTTCGTCAAGATGAAGAAGTATGGCGACCGGTTCTACTTCGGCTTCAGCAGCTTCACCAACCTCCGGAGCCCCAAGACATCTCAGGTTAGCCAATCTGTTCACCTTTCTACCCCTCCCTCATCCTCTCCTCCTGTAGGTGATAGCCTCGGTCCCCGACGACAAGCTCCTCCTTGAGAGTGATCTCGAGGACGCCAAGGAGGTCCACGGGGCTCTTCTCCGGATGCTACAAGTCATTGCAGGTAGCTGAGTTCCCCCTTTTGCTTGTTCCCTCCTCTGATCTCTCTCTCCCTCCGCTCCCCCCATCCCCACCTCTCCTCTGATCTCTCTCTCCCTCTCTCCCCCTCTCTCCCCCTCTCTCCCCCTCTCCCCCTTTCTCCTCTGCTCTGTCTGTCTGTCTGTCTGTCTGTCTGTCTGTCTGTCTGTCTGTCTGTCTGTCTGTCTGTTTGTCTGTCTCTCCCTCCCTCCCTCTCTCCCTCTCTCTCTTGCCCCCCTCCCTCTCTCTCTTCCCCCCCCCACCACCCCGCCTCACTGCTTCACGCGCAGATGCGAAAGGATGGACTCTGGACTATGCTGCAAAGAAAACCTGGGAGAATGCTGAAACATTTTATTCGAAGACTTGAGTCACAAGGAGCTTTCCTTAGTGACGGAGCGTTCACAGATTGGTGTGGATACAAGATGATGTTAGCCAAGATCTCTTCCTCGCCAGGATCCGATCAAACAAGAAAGCGAGTCAAGAAGCAAGAGCGCTTCCAAATGTTGTTTCAGTTTCATTCCTTTCGAAACTTACAAACAATGCAACATTGCTTTCCACTGGCCTCGTGTTGAAGCCGCCTTGAGACATATCTCAGTTACCCTCTCTTCCACCTTTAGCTGCTGGTTGACAGCACGTGGACGCCATAGTCAAGGTTTGTGTACTCCGCCGGGCAAGCGCCAGGGGTCCAAGCTGTGAAAAACTCTCATCACCGATGCAGGAGCACAACCATGGACAGTGAATATCATGACGACGACATTCACAACGTTACAGACACCAGCGAGACCTCAACAGTAACCGTTGCATCAGCACACAAACACTCCAATCTCGCATGAGAGAGCTGCAACGTGACATCGCTCGGACAAGACAAGACTTTCATCATCACATCCATGACCCTTCCAGCAAGCACTTCCATGTATCGCAACACGCGTGAAGAAACTTCATATCCAGGTCCTACCAGTGGGTCCTCCGTTGTTGATGGCGATCTGCTCAGTCTGCGCACAAAGAGAATCATGTCAAAGGATACACAACAAGCTCTCCCCTGACCTCAGCAGCAAGTCCATCACCGTGAGTACCTAAGAAACCTCATCACCGAACTCAACCAGGGGAGACGGACGTACCGATTTGGACGCAGATGTTCTTGCCGCCCTGGTTGATGATGGAGTAGGCAAATTGATCCAATTCCGAGAGCTTTCTGATAGCCGCGAACATTCCTGCAAAGAGAGATGAGTTGGGGCAGGAGAAAGGGAAATGGGTCGTGAGAAGGATCGTTTAGCCAGGGCAGGGGTCAGTGTTAGGTTTCAGGATATTTCAGACGCTCGCTCCGGGTCGGTGTTAGAATAGAGGAATTTGAAAACAAAGATATCTTTGCTGTCTTTGCAGAAAATTTGATCCAAATACATGGAACATTCGTATCAGATCGCAATATTGAATCTGATCTTTCTTTTCGAATGCGTCAATGTGTGAAGATTTGTGATACACGAGCTGCCAACTACTTTGTGATGCAGCTAAGAGACCAACATTCTTGCACACACAAGTGAATGCCATCCTCGCATAACGCTGATTTCCCTCTTTCTCCTTGCCACTCCTCTTCACTCCCCCGCTTCCTAGTCCCGCAAACCCACCCTTCGCTTTCTGCTTACCACATTTTCCCTTACGCTCTTCCCGAGTCTGGCCCACCTCCCAACCTTTCTATTCGCCTTCTCGTTCTTGTCAGCTTCTTTCTCATCCTCGTCTCTCAAGCTCTCTGCTCCCCCGCTTCATCACATTATTCCATGGTTACGGCGAGCGAAAACCGCATCGCCATCTATTTTGGGCGCGATGAGGTGTTAAGCTAGTTGATAGCTAAACTTAGTACAATTCCTCTTAATTTAGTATAAATTATCTTAAAGTATCTTAAAGTAGATATATTTGTTTTATTCAAGATGGATCCTGGCTAAAATTAGCTCTAATCTATCCTGTTTGTGTTCACCACCCCTCCTTCCCCCCTCACGTTCACTCCCTGCTACACTGTGCTTGACTTACGCAATGCTGCACGTCAGGCCGCTCGAACGACGCAGCAGCCGATCGCCTGGGCGTCATGGCGACTTGAGTCAGCAGAGATCCTCGACGGAACGATACTCCTGCAAATCTTGGCATGTCTCAGCGATTTCTCGTCCATCAACTCCAGCGTTGAAGAGAGAGGTTTGTCTCGTTGCCAGAAGTAAGCATACTCTTGCTGTTGTTCGGTTAGTGGAAACATGTATGGGGGAAGATAAGATGATACCGGAAAAGTGTGCTCCTCTGTTGGTTGCATTCCGGCCACATCACTGGCGTTATAATGTACAAGATGATTCCCCACCCTCTTGCAGACAGGCGTGTACAGCTGGATCGTAGAGTTTTGTGCCTCTTGTTCCAGCTCGAGCAAGAGGGCTATTCCGGGGAATTGAGTGATGGAACCACCTGCAGCATGAAGATAAGATGAGATGTGAAGATGAGATGAGATGTGAAGATGAGATGAGATGAGATGAGATGTGAAGATGAGATGAGATGAGATGAGATGAGATGAGATGTGAAGATGAGATGAGATGAGATGTGATGAGATGAATCACAAACAACACCGACAACCTTTAGAAGCGATGATTGTCTCAACGGCGTAATAAGCCCTCACCGACATGTTCCTCCGCGAGAGCTCTGACGGGAACGTGTACGTATGTACTGGGAATAACCTGGCAGTCTGAAGGGTTTGGAGGCAAAGGGATCACGAGACGAAACACAAGCATTCCACCACCTTCTTCTGATCATGGCAGCTCTTCCGATCGATGTCGTCGATGAAGATGAAGACGTTGAAGGGGTTGACCTCGGTGACGTACAGCAGCCGAGCGAGCAGAGCGTGCAGTCTTCTTGGTCTACAGCCCCGAAACAGCAAGGCAACAATGGGCTGCGGAGGATACGATGGCGACAAGATCCCGTAGGCATGACCAAAGAACCTTGCGGCTCTCTGCAGGCTGAAACTCAGTGGAGTCTCAATGTCTCAGAGCAGCGATTCACCTCTTCGTGTAGCTGGATGCCCTCTTTGCTCAAAGCATCCAGGACGAGAAGCTCTTCGACGGCCTGCACCAGCCATTCCATCAGAATCAGAGCACACAAGAAAATCTCTCACCTGATACTCAACAAGTTGATCTCGGACGGCAGCAAGTTGACCGTCAATGAGGTCGAAGCGGGCATCGCCATATTTTGCATCCTGTTCACTCATCTGAACAGCCCCGGGCTCGTGCGTGAATTGAAGCATCCTCCTGTCAAGGCCGTTGCCTGCACTTACTTCGTGAGGATGCTACGATGGCGAAGGCTGCAGTTCACCAGGCCGTCGGACGTACAAGGTGGACGGTGAGGACAGCCATTTGACGCCTGCGTACGCCTCGTAGAGGCACATCATGTATGCACCATCCTCCATGTCCATGTGGAAGAGCTCTCCATCAGGATAACCTCCTCTGGCGGGGCAGAGGTCAAGGGCCCAACTAGGGACGAACGTCAAAGAAATCCTTGCCGTACATGAAGTCATGGGCCTCTTTTCTTATGCAGATGTTCATCGGCGATGTGTCTTCGATGGCGATTTGCCAGTGAGGATGAAGTTCCTTGTTGGCATCATGCACGCTGAGGATTCAGCGAGAGAGATTGACCTGAATAGGGGCCTGATGCGCAACAAAGGAGCTCTCGAAGTATTCCTTCCCGGCGTCCATCCTTAGCTTCACGAACGCGAGGTTCGTATGCCTGCGCAGCTGCTGGCCCTTCAGAACGCTGCAGCGACTGTTGATCCCTTCTCACCAGGTCCCAGCATGTCGGCACATGATGCTCGTAGAAGACATCGTCCGCCTCCCCAAACAAGATGATGGATCCCCGGGCGGCAGCAACACCATCGTTGCGAGTGACACCTGCAGCAATCAACCCCGTTGACTCCTCGCGACCAGTTCGACATCTACAAGCACCTGCTCCTCGATTCCTCTCGTGCCTGACCAGCGTGTAGCGAGGCGGCGGAGCGAGGCATTCACTGCAGGCCCTTGCATTCCAGACGCCGCTGGGGTCCAGGAAGCGGGAAATTACTTCCACGCTGTTGTCAGTTGAAAAGTCGTCGACCACCACAACCTCGCAGGAGACTCGATTGAGGCCCTAAGAGCAGATGTGAGGGGGGCGGCGACGATGCCGAGAATCACCAGGCTCGCAACAAGCATATGGAGCAGCTCAAACGATCGCTCGAAACTTTCAAAAGCGTGTATGACGAACTCCCCACAGTTGTAGCACGGCACGACGATGGATACCTGACGGCTTCGATGAGATAGATACACGTCAAAATTTGAGTCAAACTCACAGAATCTGGGTAGATCATGGGTTTCAAAGGCCCAGTGTTGGCATACCCCGCAGAGTTTGTTCCCATGCTAAGATACAGGCATGAGGGATATCATGACAACAGCATGAGAGCAAGGGGACCTGGCTGACACCTGCACAAGGAGACATAGACAGATTATCACAACGACCGAGGACCACCATCGGAGCACTTGCTGTTCTAGAGGAACCAGCATTTGATGACAGGCCCCCCACAGGTACGACAGCAGTCGCTTGTGAGTTCAACTCAACGAGCACGCATCATGCGTTAGCATCCAAGATTGTACATCAAAGAGTCTTGAGGATGGGAGATCCTGTGCCTCCCTCGCCTCCTTCGCGCCAGTTGCTACTGTTCTCGTTCGCTATCGTCGCCATGCCCGACGAAGGCCCATGGCGTGATGAAAACAGAACTTTTGCTTTGGGAAACTTGGGAAACTTGAAACTTTCAAACGAGAAAAGTCCTACTACCGGGCCTCCGCCGGCCGGGCCCGGGCCGCGGGCGTCACTGTCACGGTGGCGTGGCAGCCTCGCAGTGACCGAGTCTGTGACTGCGCTGACTCAGCTGGCGGGCGGGACACCTGGAGTTGAAGGCTCGGAAGTCCGACGGTCACGACCGTCACGGTACGGTCGGCGGCCCAAAGTTCAACGCCGACTTACTAAGTTAGTAACTTAAGTTGAAGACTGTGAAAATCAGTTCGAACTGTGATCGGACTCGGAGCCCAGGCGGCACTGGCCGCCCGGCCGGGCGGGGGGGCCGGGCACCTGAAGGCTGAAAAAAAAGTCATGAATGATTGCGCCGCCCGACCGGCGACGCCACAATCCGATCGCTTCTGATCGACACATTATGTCCCTGCCGCAGAAGGACAGCGATTGGTCGCGGCTGATAGGCTTCCGAGGGCAGGAAGAGAAAGATGAAGCTGCTCCTGAGGCCACCAAACGTACGTTGAACTACCCCCACAGCAGTGTCACTGACCGTGATTGCCGGTGAAGCAAAGGTGACGGTGATCCGAAAACCAGCGCCTGTCGCTGAGTTCGGCGTTGGCATCCTGCTGGATAAGCTCACCATGAAAGTAACAGGGTGCATTCCTGGCCTAGCTGCAGACAGGAGTGGAATGATCCTGCCTGGAGATGAGATTGTGAAGATCAATGGTGGAGTTTCTTTCTCCGTTCATATCGGAAGCTGGAATTAAGCTGGTGGGATTGACGGCATGGCTTTCCGCAGGCAAAGAGATGTTCTATTGGGACGACCCGCTGGAAGGATTTGAGAATTTAGGTTTTCTAGGTGAAACGTTCTGGCAGGTTTTGCTTATCAAAATGATTTGCTGCTTGGTTGTAGGAAAGGAAGGCACTTTGGTGCGTGTTGATGTCAAAAGACTAGAAAATCCGGGAACTCCTGTAGGGCTCATTCATGGTCAGCCCAGCAAAACCTGACTGACTCGCACCACTGCAGATTCAGCGATACAGATGGTTTGCAATTGAGCTGATGCGGGGAACATGTGAATACTTGGATCTCTACAACAAATGTCGAACTTTGGTGAACTTTAACTCACTCAAGAAGGATGCTGAGCGATGGCGCGGCAGGAGTTTCGCAATTCGCAGCTAGAACGTCCGGAGAAGGAGGTGAATGTGAACGTCGACCATGTCGACCGGTCGGACTCTCTTGAGCTTCGAGAAGAAATAGAACGGTTGACCCGGCAGTTGGAGTTGATGCAGAAGAAATCTACTGAAGATGACGCTGAAATCGAAGATTTAAAGCGGCAAAACAAGAAGCTGTCATCGGAAACTGAAAGAGCTTATGGCGAAATGAAATCTTTGAAAGACATGATTGAAAAATTGCGAGCACTTCTGTTGGAAAATGACAAGTGAGTTTTGTTGATATTGTTTTGGCTTGTAAAAGCATCCTGCAGGGCTGCCGAGATTGAAAGACTCAAGCTTGAGCTAAAGAAAACTCAACAAGAACTGGAAACAACCCGATACAATTTTGAGCAAGCCCACAAGGCTCGAATCCAGTTGGAGGCAAAACTCACTTGATTTGGATTGGTGGGCTAATATCTTGCTTATATCTTTTATGCAGAGTTTTGAATCACGAATGAATCTTTGATGTATTTTTAGCTAATATGCACGAGCATTCGGGGAAGAAACCCAATGGTTTGCCATGACGAAGGAATATCATAATTCTGTAGTCTTTCCACTGCGAAAATCATCTGTGGGTGTGTGGGGTATGTGCAGACTCATCCGGCCCATAGAGACTCCGTCAAGCTCATCATTGGATGCAGCTTTTTCGAGCTTCTTCTCAAGGTCACCGGAGCATGTTTCATCTGAATGCTCTTGAACGTTTGCAGCCAAGCCGCTCCATCCATCGCCTAGCATCTTGATCATGTTCCTTTCCTTCTCTGGTAGCAAGTATTTTGCAATCCTCCAGAACTTCATGATGTCAGTGAGACAATTGCAGAAGAGGCAGTCGTCACCGAGTCAAAGAACCAAGGTTCTCCGATAATCACAATCCCCACGATGTGTTGAGGAAAGTAATGAAGCAACCCAAGCCTGGTCCAACGCAACGAGGGGACACACAGAGGAAAAGCAAGTGAGGAATCAGTGCGGCATTTCAATACAAAATATTCTCACCCTCCAGATCGAAAGATTTGCCACATGTGTACAAGTCCGAACTCACTGACATCCTGTACAACCACCAAACCTCTCTCCTAATCATTCGAGTCAATTCTCACTTTTGCAGGGCTGTTCCCACCTGGATTTCACTAGAGTGGAAGATTGCCTCATGTATGTAAATCTGCCATTGGAACAGCTCGGATCTGACTACGAGTCAAAACGCGAAGGGCCAAGAACAGAAAGAAATGTGACATCACATGCTTCTGTTCCAGTCGAAAAGTCGATTCCGAACAACAAGCACTTTCCTTTTTCCGCTACACGTCTCACCATTCAACAAGACCTGCGATATCGGACCATCATCTCTACAGCGCCATGTTTCCACATGCGAAGTACACCGCTCCGCTCCGAATCATATTTACCGCCTCCCCGCTCGTCAAGTTTCTGTAGCTGCCATGGAGTCAATGCTTCAGATTTCTCCCCTCCAACCGAGATTACAGATGTTCGTTCTTTCTTCTAAACTCGAGAATCCGATTCTTCACTCTCTCGACACATCCCTGCTTTCCCGGTTCGATACGTCCACATGAAGCCCTTATCGCAGCATCCTCCACTTCGACCTGCTTCGTGAACGATGGGGGGATGTCATGAGCCGCTTCTTCTGCTCGTACACTGCGACACGTCACAGTGATCGCAACAAGTAGCACGAGCTGCTTCCTCAACCAGCCACTTGCCGCCATTCCCCTTCTCTTCACGCCTCAACCTCGAGCCCTCCTTTTGAGCATTGAGCGCCAATAGATGTTTTATGAGTCGACCCGGCGCTGCCGGGCCCGCGCCGGGCGGGCCCAGCGCGCACCCGGCCCGGGGACGGTCGCCAAAGAAGCATCCAGCCCGCCTCATTGCATGGTAGTAGGAAAGCACCGGGGCAGCACCTTCGAACCCGTTCGAATGCCAGGGGTCGCAATTGAAGCTCCTCAAAGTTGCTCATGTGGGCTAAAAAGTCACGTTACTAGTCACGTTACCAGCATGGCCCGTCACGGCAAAGAAGGGCTAAAAGAAGGGGTGGGGTGGCTAATAATAACTTTAGATCTGCTTTAAATGGTTTTAATTATCTGGGGTCGATCTAATTTTAATACCTTTTTTGAAAAACAGACTCTCCATTCCCAGGTGGGGTAGTGTTGATTCAGTACAATTATTGAAGGATTTGTCTCTGTCAGTTGGGTGGGGTAGTTTTATACTGATGTTGTTAAGTATTACTTGTATTTTAGAGTGGAGGAATAATACTCAGGGTAGGTATGATACGCTTTTAAAATCGTGAATCTTTTTTTGTCTGGGTGGGGGTTATCTATATCGCTGGCAATTGGTATGACCCCTAAGGGCCTTCTCACTTTCTCGAGTCATGTCTTAAGTCAATAACCACAAGTGGTTACCCTTTTGAATTTATGGAGATGAGGGAGTTCCTGGGGTGGGGTATCCTGTCATCGACAATGGAGGACTTCGAAAGGGTGGGTTATACGTTTCTCCCCTGTAGGACATGTTGAGGGTGGGTGTGAAAAGGACTTTGAGAGGGTAGGGGTGTATCCACTGGGCTAAAACTAGTTCTAGGGAAAAAAGGTAATACCTGCGTGTACAAGGATGGAAGATTTGAAGGGTGGGGGTCCTGGGGGATGTTTTATAACCTTTATACTGTAGGGTCTTTTGATTATGATCGAGGGGGTGCTGGTCAGAAAGGGGTAGGTGGTCCTCGAAGGGGGTTGTAAACGATTAGGTCGGTCGATAGGATAGGCGGCGAACAATCATGGCCGGAGGGAAGGGGGGGAGGGAGGAGGAGATGAAGGAGAATGAGCTGAGGGAAGAGAACCAAGACTCAGGAGATGGGATGGAAGACCCTGAAACCGTCTTCTGTGACAACAGCGCGGGCCGAAGAGGGCGCATAATATGCGACGCCAAGTATCCACATCAAGTGCTGCATGTGGACGGCAGGGCGGCAGCTCTTGGTGGTCAAGGGGAGAGTGCTTTCCTGGGAAGGAGGCTGGCAAGGTGTCTGAATATGATAGTCTACCGAAACAGAGGTGCTTGTGCCCCCGATGCGAACAGTGACTTTGAGAACTTGATCACCGATTGCATTCAAGAGGGCAAAGCAGTGGTGTTGAACTGCGCGGAAAATGAGATCTGCAAGACTCTATGTGTTCTCCCAACCACGTCAGCAGATATGCGATCGGTGGATATCTTAATGTATCCGACTTGCTTGTCATTGGACTCCTGCGGCTCCTGCAAGAAAAAGACGGCACTCACTAAACGTCAGATTTCGTTCAATCACCAACAAGAGAAACTGAATACGATATTTGGAGACCATTGCACGCGGACGCTCAGCGCGGCATTTGATGACAGGGAACTATATTCAAAGAATAACGAAGTTGTACATACTGGAAGAAGTGTTTCAAGCACGAATTAGAGATGGCGAAATCCGTCGAGGTGTAAATGGTGGGGTTTCGGCAGCAGGCATTTTTTTTTCTTTGATCTAGCTTCTTCTTCATTGTTGTGGTTCAGATGCAACTGGAGTCTAATTTCTGATTTACTATGATGCAATATCTCATCATCGTACAGATCTGCAATTTTCTTGCTTTCACCTTCGATCTGTCCGTTATGGTTTAATTTACATTCCGAGTGATAAAGATGGCTGAATTGAAAGACACCTGTCTCTTCTTCGCTCTTTCATCTCAACACACCACACCCGAGTGATGTCTCGATCTTGATCCTACTTCTAGTCAGCTCCATATCTTGAAACTTCCAGACGCGTTCGAAAAAAAGGCTAGTCCGAGTGCTCTGCGCCTTCTTCCTCCTCAGGAAAGGACTCCAGCGTCTTCATCTCTCTTTTCCGCTCCCTCTTCTGAAACCCCTCTCTTCTAACTTCATCAATGCCTGCCTCCTCAGGAACAATCTCCTCCTCACGGCTGGGCTCCTCATTCCCCTGCTCGCTAACGTTCGCAACGTCGCGTTCTCCTTCGAGGAGTTCTTCTCCTCTGTCCGACTTTTGGTCGGAGCTGCTTCGGCTGCTTCTTTCCTCCTCCTCTTCTCCTTCTTGAGGCTCGTACGCAGCCCACGCAAGCAGGATCTCCACCAGTCTACCTGCAAGCACATGGAGTCAGAGTCGACAGTGACAGTCCAGTGCTCGTCACGTCGCTGCGCCCTCGATCTGAACATCTTCTGTAGGGTAGTCTCCCTCCCCATCTCTGCGCACTGGAACCAGGCAATGAAGATCATCGCCATGTCCCTGTCTTGTCGCTTCTTGCGGAACAGCTTCATCATGTCCCACTTGGGCCCCTGCTTGCTCAAGTGAGCAACGAGACTGAGTGCACTGATTCACATGCTTCAAGACCTCGAAAGCATCATTCTTCCATGCGTCATAGCTGTCTCGCAATCTTGTATCAATCAACATCCCCAGCACTCGCTTCATCGTCCTGCCGGCACTAGCAGTTACTTCTCCCCCCACTCCTTTCCCCTCTCCTCCTTGCGAGACGGATCACCTCCTGGCGTACTCCTCGTTCCTCCACTCCTCCCAAGAGTCCCACATCTTGACACGTCAGACAAGTATCATCAGTCAGAGCTGGGTGGCGCGGGATGGGGGACCTTAGCTAGCAGGTCGACGTTGCGGTTGTGGAAGATGGACTGAAAGAAGTTGCGAATCTCATAGTTCCTGACGATGAACATCTGCCACGCCCGCAGAGCCCTGGGAGGGAAGTGATGAGATAACAAGACGGCGAACATGAGAGGGAGGGAGGGAGGGAGGGAGGGAGGAAGAAGCAAGAACAGGAATCAACCAGAAAGGTGGGAGAAAAGGAGGTAGGGAGCAGAAGAGGCAAATCACATTGCAAGCGAGCGATTGAGCCATCTGTTCTTCAACAAGTTTGTGAACTTATCTCTGTCAAGGTTGATCTAGCTCAAACGTTAGGGAACAGAGAATAGAAGGATGCTGCAATAGCAGAGGTTCTACCTGTTTGTTCCTCTCCCATTTCTTCATCCACTCAGCTTCCTGTCAAGACCGATCTAAGAGAGGAGAAAGGAGGAGGAGGAGGAGGAGCCATCTGTTGACCTGAGCTTGAAACTCCCGCGCCTGCTTATCCTCGAGGTATCGATTCAGGAGCGCCCTTTCTCGTCCAACGTTGCATGCTGCATCGATGATGACGCAGGCGGCCAGCGCCTTGCCGGACATCCATGCTCCTTCTACCGAGCACTCGGTGATCCAATCCCCTGCTACACCGATGCCGTTGCCTACAGGAAGGGGTTCACAGGGTGTTCGGTGGGGGGGTGAAGAAAACTGAGAGGAAGGAACGAGAGAGAAGAGAAAGGGGAGGAGGGAAAGAGAGGGAAAGGATCGGCAGGATGTGGAGGGGGAGAGAGAGGAGGAGGAAAGACCTGCATCGAAGAGGCAGTACTTCCTCTCCGGCGCAAAGAGCTTCATGTCCATTGCCGACGCGTTGTTTAGCATCGAGCCCGGCAGGCCTGCAAGTTCCGCATGCTCCCACAGAGACGCTTGAACGTGCGATGGCGTGTGGGCACGCACGTTGATTTCCGTCTCCTCCATATTCGCGCCGGCTAAGGCTAGAGGGAGGAAAATCTGCAAGAATAATCAGGGCAGCATGAAGGGAGGAGGGAGGAGGGAGGAGGGAGGAGGGAGGAGGGAGGAGGGAGAAAGAGAAGAGGAGGAGGGAAGAAGAGGAGGGAAGAAGAATAAGAAGCAGGGGAGGAAGCAAGATCAACCTCTGCCGTCTTCTCAGCCACATGGTTGGGGCTCGCATCTCGATTCATGTTCGACCACGAGGAGGACAGGACTATCATCCAAACATACGTGAGACTCTTAGTGCTGCTGCGGTTCCCTCCTGCTTCTCCTGCTCCTCCCGCTCCTCCCGCTCCTCCACCACTCCCCTTCTTCTGCGACCTGAGGTACTCCGCCTCTGCCGTGATATCCCAGAAGCTGACGATCTGGGGGTCACCGAGCTGAAACGCCTCCTCCTCCTCCTGCTCTGCGTCCCTCTTGGTTCTCCTTCGCTGCTGCTCATGGCGGTGCCGCCGGTACCTCTGCAACGCATCGTTGAGGGTTTTGCGAGAAAGACGGCTGCTCCCCTCCTCTTCCTCTGCGAGGAAGTCGAGGAGCAGTTCGATCTCCTCCTCCAGATAGCCCAGCATTGACAACTTGGAGGCGATGGAAGAGATCTCGATGAAGGTCGTTTCATCCTCCTCCTCCTCCTCTCTCTCCCCCCTTCTCTCTCCTGAAACCTCCTGACGTTGCTTTCGCCCTCCCTCCCTTTCCTCCGTCCACTCCAGCAGCATGTGGAAGAGGTCTTCGATGGAGGTCTCGAGGTCGAAGGGGGTCAGCGAGGCTCTGCCTGGAGCAGCAGCGGGAGGGCTGGGCTGAAACACGTCCTCCTGCATCATCCGCGCATAGATATCTCGCTCGAGGGCAGGGAGGTGAAACGAGCCCTGAGGAAGGAGAGAGATATCTTAAGGTTGAGAAGAGGAGGAGAGGGGAGGGGAGGGTTGGGAAGAGTGGGAGGATAGAGGAGCGGGAGATGGAGGAGGAGGAGGAGGAGGGAGGGCAGGGGAGCTAGGGAGCAGAGGATAGAGAGAAGGGCAGAACAGGTAGGAACGAGGAGGGTGAGGGGAAAAGGAGCATGACCTGAAGAGAGATGGGAGGGAGATGGTCGAACTCGATGGTGACAATCCATGCAGGAAGCATCTCACACTGAAAGCAAGATGAACGAGAGCTAGAGAAGCTGCAGCGAGAGGGGGGGAGATGGGGGGCC